TTGGAATTGAGATGTTGGAATTTAGATGTTGGAATTGAGATGTTTCATTGTTAAACCCCCACCTCCTAATCATAGCCTTTAGCACCTCGTTGCAGCCAGTCAATTTTGGACGTGTGTAACAAGAAGCAATTTGGATTTGGTCCTCCGTTTCATATTCGAAGAAAGGTTTTCTAAAAGGAAATAAATGATGAATTTGACTTACATTCTGTAAAAAAAATTACTGTCTATAGTTGAGCTGCCAGAGGATGAGCCCCAGCGCGTAAACATCGTTACTCGCATGCGTTCTTCCCGCTACTCCACGCTTAAATTACCAAATACTAGATTCTACAGAAGTCTTTATCTCATAAAGTTCACTTACATCTGGAGCTTTGTATCTTTTTGTGTAAAATACGCTATCAGTTGAGATCCCGTGCGGGCGAGTACTTCCAAGATCCGCTAATTTCACTGTCCGGTAGTTATCCGCCATCAGAACACTGGAAAAATTGCAAAAGCATTGTCTTTTTTTAACTATAAGTACAGTATGCTGATATAAAACTTCTCTCTTACTTATCAGGCTTTAAATCATTGTGCACCAGTCCTTTCTCATGAAGATAAACCAAAGCTGTGGTCAGCTGGGTAGCCCACAAGAGAATGTGACGTTGATCATAGATTAGGTGATGGATAATCCCTTTCTCTTTTTTCCCATGATAACTAAATGTTAAGTTTAAAGTAAATGAACAAAGTAAGTGAGTAAATGAACAAAGTAAGTGAGTAAATGAACAAAGTAAGTGAGTAAATGAACAAAGTAAGTGAGTAAATGAACAGAAGCTTAAACCCAGTCCGACCTACCATTTTCGAGAGATCCTTCGTCATGGTATTCAAAAACGATTGCGTCATATGCGTCAGAATGCTCGGATTTTACCGTGCCAAGCATCTATAAAAAGTACGAATGTAAAACTAGTAGTCTAGTAGTGTAATTAAGTCTGTAGAACAGCACTAGATACCGTGCTTCTAATAGAAGCCGAGCTAAAAAATTTATGCATTATTTATTTTGAGTTTTCGCAGCAATTAGTAAAGCAAATCCAATTTGTTTTTGTTTCTATAGATTTGCCTATGGAATGCGTGTGTTCTGACAAAGTTTCAGAAATTTTCGTTAAAAACTCGCAATTTTGTGCAACTTTTTCTCTCAGGGCGGGGCTTCAACAGTTCAATGCTGCTTCTATGCTGCTTCAACAGTTCAATGCTGCTTCAACAGTTCAATGCTGCTTCTATTAGAGGCAAGTAGGGCAAGTAGGGGTTATTTTCACTAGAAATCAATACATAAATGTCTTTAAAGTTATCTGTTTTTATCCAGAAAATCTACTAAAAGTGCTGCTTTTACCTTGACAATATTCGAATGTTGACAATCCCTCAAAAATTGCACTTCTTTTTGAGAAACCCGATGGAGAAGCTCAAGTTTGACGAATCTTCTTGGCCGCAGGTCTTTGACAGCCACTGTTTCACTAGAAAGAACTTTAAAATTTACAGAAATGTAAAATAATTTTAGTGTCGAAGTGGGATAAAAGCTTCCATTTCCTGTATCTCTAAGATTATTGGGAGTAATGTTTTGTAATTCTTTGAAAAGGTAACTTAGCAAAGCAAACTTAGAAAAGGTAACTTAGAAAAGGTAGGGCTCTACCCTTATATGCACCTTAGCAAATATTATTCACTAACTTGTCAATTGTTCTCTTTTTGTAGACAACACCCATTCCACCCTGGCCAAGTATCGTTGAAAATTCCTCGACGAAATCCCGAGCTTCATATTCTTTGAACGTTGAAATAATCGTAGCTTGTGACGCTTCCAAGCTTTCCATTCCAGCAATAAGTGTGAAAATTGACGAAACTTCCAAAGTTATGACTTCCTTATCTTTCAGTTGAAAATGCGCCACGTTTTTCTTTCTTTTTTTTTTAATTTTTCACGTATCAATAATTTTTGCGCAAGAAAATTGAAACGATTATTCAGAAAAAGAGTAAACAACTTTGTGCAGTGATAGTCGCTTTTAAAAATTCTCAAATAACGTTTGAGAATTTGAACACAAAATTGCGGGAGTGGGACAAATGCGACCTTTTTTTCCGCACTTAGCTCATTAGCGCACCTTTTTCCGCGTTTTAAAAAAGCTCTTAAAAGCTAATATTAACCAATTTCTATTCCAAAAAGTTGTTTTCTAGGTAATTTTAGGGCGTAGAATCGAAATTTTGGCATATCAGAGCTTGTGGAAGCGAACGGACGCAGTTATACAAAGAGAAAAATCAACAATTTTCTGTAATTTGACCTAGCCGTTTTGTCTTTCAAATTGGTTCCACACGCTCTGTTATGTCAAAATTTGAATTCGACACCCTCAGATTACCTAGAAAAACCAATTTTGGAATAGAAATTGGTTAATATTAGCTTTGGAGCTTTTTAAAACGCGAAAAAAGGTGCGCTAATGGGCTAAGTGCGGAAAAAAAGGTGCGCAAATGTCCGGGTGCGCAAAAAAAAGTCGCATTTGTCCCACTCCCCAAAATTGCTGTGAAAAAATCGTGGAGTTGGGGCAAAAATGATTTACATGCTTGCTACAAGATTGCTAAAAGATGGCAAAATTATATCGTAGGCATTTTCGACAAAGAATATTCAGTTAACACTATAAAACAAGCAATTTGTGCCAAATTTTTCACTTTTAAAATTTTGTCCAGTGTAGGCGAATTTCCCTAATTTTTTTGCGCAAATAGCAATAACTTTCTTCTGAGTGGGCCAATCTTCATGATTTTGGTTTCATTTTGTTGCACTTATTGAGATCTACAAAATGAAACCAATTGGTCCCAATGAAACCAATAAAGATTGGTCCACTTAAAAGAAGGTTATTGCGAGTTGCGAAAAAGATTCAGTTGCAGCAATTGGCCTACCCCATTTTCTCCTGTTCTGTCGAACGTCTTTTTTGGGGAGAACCCAAAAACCGCAAATTTTTTTCCGAGCCTTTTTATAACTCGACTTAACTCAATAACCTATGGCCGGATTCTTATGTTTTGATACCAATTTGTTGCACTTGACGGGAGCAACAAAATGGTACCAAAAACATACAAATCTAACCACGGGTAGTCAAGATATCAAAAGTTGGAAAAAATTTTGCGGAAATGCCCCTTTGCGGAAGAAAATTTGTGGTTTTTGGGGCCGTCCCCTTTTTTGTGTCTAATCGCCTATTTTTTTGAAAGCGCAGTTTATTTTGAACAAAACGTCGTTCAACCGTTTCTCTATCAACTTGAAGATTAGTTTACATCAAATTTTAAAAACCCTTTGCTAAAAGTTTGTGGGCTCAAAGATTTTTGGATGCGATTTGTTTTTATCGACAATACACTTCAGGGACGTAGTGACTCCATAGGTTGCAATTTCCCCTTTTTGAATCATTTGTCTTTGTTTCAATCTTGTTTCTAACCGTAAAAGAACTTTAATTTTAGGTTCTCTCAACTAATTTCTTGTTCATCGATAAATTTTGTAGTAATCAATGCTCAACGATTGCAAGCCCGAAGATATCATCGATGATAAGGTACATTTTGTGATTACTTCTTATCCAGTAGTTTTATAAGAAACTTTTGTCGTTTATTTCCCAAAAACTAAAAGTCATTAAAAGAATATATCGTAAATGGAGTACAAGTACGGGAAAGCTCTACCTATCTAACAATTTTAAGGTGTTGCCGTTAAATGATCTAGTTAAGGTCCCTTGCAAAATGTGGTATCTTTGTTTTTAGGATTCGACGACTCCGCCATTTACCCGGGAAGGGCTCATTCAAATCATCAACGAGGTCTTTGAGCGAAACATCGGCCACACGACCTATGACGTCGAGAAATCGGAGTCGTGGAATACCAAATGTGTTGAAGGTACGATTTTGGTCCGGTAGATTAGCAGCAACGTGTTTTGGCAAGGATACGGGGATAATAAAAATTGTTAATTGTTTCATGTTTTTGGCAGTAGCAACTTGTTATTACTTGTGAACGGTAATGTGAGCATTGCTAGTTAGTAGTTCAATGTGTTTTCAATTATAAATTCCTGTTGCACAATTCTTTTTCCTTTTAGAGATCACCTACAGATTGGTCAAGCATCAAGGGCCCTACAAGTACATCGTGGCCTCGGCACTCTTGCAAACTGGCAATGGATCGGGCCTCAATGTCTCGAGTGCGTTTTTCGAGTTTAAGCAATAAGTTATTAAGTTGTGCGCATTGTCTGCTGGATAAAAAAATTTTTCTTTTTAGCGGTGTCATTCTGGAATAAAAAAACTGACGTCTCGTACTCGCATCGTTGGGAGGGAAAACATGTGCTCGCCATCATCAACGTTTTTGCAGTCGCCTATTAAAGTCGGTTTTGTTAACGCAATGTGCTATTGCAAGTTCTTCGGTTCAGTTTTTTAAGTTCACTGCAATGTAGTGAGACCATACTTTATTCAAAGAACTCTATAGTTTAAATCAGAATGCATCTAAACATTTTACTTGCTCGCATTTAAGTTTTATATATTAACATTTCTTTAACATGATTCTTTTAGGTGTTCATCTCTTCAAGACGTATCGTTCCTATGGGTCAACTACTTCAATTCATCACCACGACACGCTGCATATAAACGATCAATTCGGTACTTTTTATTTGTCTTTATGTTCTCCCAAATTTTGATTGCTTCAAATTAATCGTGTTTGTGTTTTGTTTAAAGTGTGTGCCCATTCTATTTATACAATTTGTCGATTGCGAACTAAACAAAAACTTTCAATGAATCATTTAAAATTTATTGCAGCTTAACTTTTTCCTTGAATGCCATCTCAAAACAAGACCAATAGTACCAGGAAAGGATGAACCGAATGAAAAGGAATAGAGCTAAAAAGAAAAGGAAGCTAGCGAGAATGACGTCTAAAGAGTAGATTTCAAAAGTGTTTAAGTCTGGGAGATCTAGCAAGATGTCTGTGTTGGTGATAACATCAACCCAATACAATAGCTCCGCTTCGGCCTTATTCGGTTTATTCAAAATAATGTGTTGGAGGCCAAGTGCTCGTTCTTTGAAACTAAAAGGGTTTTGAATAATTGTTCAGCAAGATCATTTACCTCTTTTCTGTGGTGATCTCTACAAAAGCTTGCTCGAGTCTTTCAAAAGAAAACTCTTCTTTAGGTATGTGGACAGTTGTGCCATGTTTCTTGAATAGATGTGCATTTCTATAATATACGTTATGCTCTCTATAATCTATAATATAAGTCTATAAGCTATGCTTAATGAATCTTTAGATTGTATCACCTAGCCTGATCTCCGAAGCTGAATAGAGGAATGGCGATCGTGGGGATTCCATGTTGAACAGCTTCCATTAAACTGTTGTAGCCAGCGTGTGTGATTAGGAGGATGGATTTGTTGTTGGCTAAATTTTGAGTTAGGGATTAACTTGCCGAATCTATTTCTTAAAGCTTTCCAAAGAAGGCAAGGCTAAATTGAACTTTACGCTCCAAAAGGTTAAAACAAAAAGTCGAATTTTTTTCCCTCATTATTTTTGTGTTTTTTTGTGCATAACTAAGCATAGTAAAGCATAAAAACTGGTTTTGAATGTATTTTGGCTCTGGACCGTAAAGTTCAATTTAGCCGAAGGCAAAACTCTGTTTTTGCCCAAAGCTTCTCTCGTTGACGTAAGATTCATAAATATTCGTAAGATCCTTTCCTAGTTGTGCCTAGTTGAAAGCCTACCTACCGTAAATACTATAATAGTACCCCAGTCCCATAATGACGGTGCGAAGCGTTGCGTAGTCTAGCTTTGAACGAGTTTTTCTCAACACTGGTTTATGCTACAATGTTCGTTTGCGTATCAAAAAAATAGCTGAGATTCAGGGCTATTTTTTTGATACCAAAGACACATTTTTTTGATAGTACGGGTGCTTTGCAAAAAATGAAATACTAAAAAACTTTTGCGACTACGCGACTGTACGAGGGCGGTGGGGTACTATTACAGTATTTACGGTAGGTGCAGCTCTGGTTTACCTAGCAATGAGTCTTGCGGTATCCACGAGGCTCGAAAAGCATTCGGCGGCAAAACTAGATTTTCTTCACAACTCCATACGAAACGAATCTTTGGATGGTTTCTGAATTTTTAAACTTGATTTCCAACAAGACTTTCTACTTGAAAAGTTGAATGAGCGCATCTTTCCAGAATTTCGGCATATGCTTTGCAACCGTCCATGAGCCGAATGAAATGACAACAACTTTTTCGGGCATCGGTGATGAAGTTTTCGAATTCCTGTAAAATGGCTAAGATTCAATACCAAATTTGGGCACCAACTTTTGGTAATTCCTTTGTTTCCTTTCTCGTCCCCAAACCGCCGATGTAAACAACTTTTCTGGTTGTTGGGATGGGGAATTCGATGATTGGATCACCGCTGAGCATCACGAGATTCGCCTAATAGTTTTGCATGAATGAAATATGAGCTCTTGTCACTGTTTTGGGAAAATCAATGAGATTTGTGATGTGATTGCCGAGAAGTCTTCTCGCGAGTTCCGTTTGTCCGTCGGCTTGTTTTGAGAGTCGGAGATGACCGTTCAAGAACTCGACAAAGTGGTTGAGGGATCTTTGCAAGAAGCTCATTTCGTTTCCGGTTTGAAGCACATACGCTGAATTGGGTTGATTTCAAAAAAGCTTAAATATCAAATGCTTTTCTCGACTTTAGATGGATGTATTGGGTTGGTGAATTGAAAACTGCCGGTTATTGTCATATGTGACAGTTTGAGCACTTTCTTCAAAAGAAACCCATTTTGGTGTCAATGGAAAAGTTGTAGAGAATCAAAAATCAAGCTTATATCCTAATTTTCAGAACGATTCAAAAACTGGTTTTCAAGAAATGCCAAATTTACGCCAAAATTACGAATTTTCACAAAACTTGCATTTTAAGCGAAACTACTAAGTGTATCTTTTTGAAAATTTGGCTATAAGCTTAATTTTTGATTCTCTACAACTTTTCTATTGACACCAAAATGGGTTTCTTTTGAAGAAAGTGCTCAAACTGGGATCTCCAGTCTCCATCTCCAGTCCTCCATTTTTGAGTCTCACACTTGTCTCACACACAAACCAAAATCAAACCAAACCAATCCTACTACGAAAGAGGAATCAAATTGCCTGTAAAATGGGCAGAAGTCGTCAATAATAATGGAAATTATTTGGAATCAATTTATGGTTTTATGTTGAATAAATTTTAGTTCAAAGTCCCGCAGTTTTCAATTCACTAACCCAATATATGACTAAAATAGCTGATATAGAACAATCTTCTAGTGTAAAAATACTTGAAAAATCTAATTTTGTAGGTTTTGAGTCTTGAAAATTTCATAAAACATTACAAAAGTGGTCTTTTAGGAGAGAACAGAACTTTTCACGCACCCTATAGCTCCATCTAGTTCCCCGTACTCACAAAAAAACTCTTTCCACTTTAACAAAGTACCCAAAGAGTGTTTTACTGGTTTTTTTAGAAAATTTTTGAAAAGGAGTTCCTCAAGGGTCCTCCCGTAGATGTACACGAAAGATAACAACTTTAATACCCCTAAACCGTGCTGACAAAGTCCCGCAGTTTCACCAACCCAATAATTATACCTTCAATGGTAATTATACTTTCAAAGTGTTCCCCTAAACTCTAGTTGAATATCTTTTAATTTTATGTAAAAATTCAAACAAATAGGGCAGCTATGGAAGCTAGGAAGCGCAGCTTCTGTAGCTTTTTTCTGCGTAGCTTTTTCGTAGCTATCCCTTTTTTAGAAATTCCCCACGAAACTAGAAGTTATTCAGCTGAGCGGGTAATGGGGACACTTTGAAAGTATAATGGTAATTTGCTCACTTACATGGCAGCACACTTGTCGGAACGAATTGTCCGGCCGAATTGAGCAGTGCGGGATACGGTGGCAAGCTCGAGAAATAAATCCATTTACCAAAAATTCGATTTTTAGTCCGACTTTTAAAAGCAAAAACTCACTAATGTTCAAGTGTTGAATCAACGCCATTTGACAAAAGTCCATGTGATGATGGAAAGCCAAGTCGATTTTTTCCTCTTTCAAATGTTTGATCAAAGCTTGATCACTGAGGGTGTCTGAGAATCAATGATTAGGGAAGTGCAACAGGTCAAGATGGCCTTCTGTAATGAGACTCAGCTCATCTTACGCAGTTTTTCATGGAGATTCCGAATGTGCTTTCAAAATTGGCAAAACAACTTTCTGGCAAAAGTTATGAGCATTTGAAGTTTCGAGTTGCCTATAAAGCCTATAAAGTCCCTTTTACTCTGGAGAAGAAAGTATGCTGGTGGCGTAGTAGAGCCTTACTTTAAAGATGGCATATACAATACTTGCTCGAGCTCGATCCCTCTTGCCAAAAAAAACTTCTTGCCTCAGCCCGAAACTTTAAATGCTCATAACTTTTGCCAGAAAGCTGTTTTGCCGATTTTGAAAGCAGATTCGAAATCTTCATGAAAAAACGCGGTCGGATGAGCTAGGTCTCGTCGGATGAGCTAGGGTTACAGAAGGCCATCTTGACCTTTTTCGACGCCTCTTAAACTTTCTGCCTTTCTATAACTCTTTGGAATTTTTATTAATTGCTTATCCTTGAAATGCTTAAAATGATGGAATGCCATAAAAAGTTGGCTTTAATTATCAAAAAGGTTTTATTAATATAAGAGGAGAAACAAGAAACTTTGAAATGAGGAGAATCGAACCAGGATAAAAGAGAATCCCAAAAATCTCAATCCCAAAAAGCACTATCCCCTCGGTTTAAGAGATGGCGTGGAGGCCTCAAATAGAGGTCAAAAATGCAACCAAAACTTGTAAGCCAGTTATCTTGCGTTACAGGCTTCAAGGGCAGAAACTAACGGCAGATTCGAACTTGAATTGAAATTCGAAATTTTGGAATTCGAATGTGGCCGATTCTATAATATGGATTTGATCTCGTTCCACGTCAAGGCCACGGCCACGTCAAGGCCACGGCCACGTCAAGGCCACGGCCACGTCAAGGCCACGGCCACGTCAAGGCCACGGCCACGTCAAGGCCACGGCCACGTCAAGGCCACGGCCACGTCAAGGCCACGGCCACGTCAAGGCCACGGCCACGTCAAGGCCACGGCCACGTCAAGGCCACGGGCACGTCAAGGCCACGGGCACGTCAAGGCCACGGGCACGTCAAGGCCACGGGCACGTCAAGGCCACGGGCACGTCAAGGCCACGGGCACGTCAAGGCCACGGGCACGTCAAGGCCACGTCAAGTGCTTTCCTTTCCCTAGTCAGTGCGATTACTGTAGCTATTGCTAGCGTACAACTTTACAAAGCCCAATAACCTTTATAACTCTACTTAAGACTGCTCAATAGCTCTACTTACTATTGCAGATGTGCATACTGAGATCGAAAAACGTTGATGACATCTCGAAGCCTTCAAAAATCGAAGAATTCCGGAACATGTGCCTAAATTTGTTAAATTGTTTTACAGAATTTGTGGCACTTACTTGATTTTGACGTCTTCAAACGGGCGATAGATTTCATAATCATATCCATTGTTGGGCGTGAATGTTTTGATTTGGGCATGGATCAGTGATTCGACGGTGAGTTTCGAGTTGACAACGGGTCGCACGAGTAGTACTTCATGGCCTCCATCAGCTAGGGCAATGGCAAGTTTGTTGTTGAAAATTGCCTAAATACAGTGGACAAGGTTTTGATTGGAAAAATAGAGAAAATTTGCAATTTCACTAATTTGTGCAATTTCTTGGTGCTTTTACAATAGACTTGGCTTTTAGACTATCAGAATAGACTTTTGAACTATCAGAATAGACTTTTGGACTATCAGAATAGACTTTAGACTATCAGAATAGTCTTTCGACTATCAGAATAGTCTTTAGACTATCAGAATAGACTTTAGACTATCAGAATAGGCTTTTGGACTATCAGAATAGACTTTTGGACCATCAGAATAGTCTTTAGACTATCAGAATAGTCTTTCGACTATCAGAATATACTTTAGACTATCAGAATAGACTTTTAGACTATCAGAATAGACTTTAGACTATCAGAATAGACTTTTAGACTAACAGAATAGTCTTTAGACTATCAGAATAATCTTTAGTCTATCAGAATAGACTTTTATAAAAACAAACTTTCATAAAAACAAACTTTCATCATTTATCTTTCATTTTAGATCAATTCTCTAGAATTTCCAGCAGCTCTAGAACCCAATTTTTCAGCTTCTTTACCCAACCTGACTGTTTGAGTGCTCAAATGTAAAAATCGCAATTTTAGAAGCAGAAATAGCATTGATTAGAAAGCATAGCAATATCCGAAATCGCATAGTAAAACCGGAAAAAGCAGGAATGGCTTTTCTTATCTCTTTTTCGGGCTTCGGAATTGGAGATTTCTTTGCAATTCTTTTTTTTTTTAAGAATTGAGCGATATCTCGAATTTTTGCCGACATTTTGATGATTCATCAAAAGCTTTTTTTTTGCTAAGCGTCTGCTTCCCAAAAGTGTCCGCATCACCATCAAAAGTCGGCCCATTCTCAAGTTGGATGGGAAATTCATGGTGATCGGAAAATGCTGATCGACTTATCCATAGAGTTTGAATCGTAAAAACGAAGTTAAGAATCGAGATGAAGTTAAGAATAGCTTTGTTAAAATATTAGGTGTGTGAAAAAAGTAATCCACGTTTTTAACGTTTATGCGGTATCCATTTGTCCAACTTTTTGATAAAATTCATGGCATTCAAGCGTTTCCTTACGGTTGACCCATCACAATTTAATGTAAGGCCTATTTCTGAAGAGGTTGAACGAGGGTTTTCGAGAAGACAGCGTCTAATTTGGTCATCAGAACAGGTCTCAGGGCGACCGCCACGTGGTTCATCTTCTAGGCTTTCATTACCACCATTGAATCGTCGGAACCAAAACCTAGCGGTATCATCAATAACCGCGTCTTCGCCAAACGCATTCCGAATTCGACGTGCAGCCTCCGCAGCTTTCAACCCATTTTTGAACTCATAAAGCAAATTTGACCGAATAACGATACTTGTGTATACCATTTTCAAACTAAAATGAAAGTAGTTTATTGTCGTCCTTTTAACAAAATAAATATATCATTCGAAAGAGGAAAAAAATAAGCTTTTAAACGATATATTAGGTTGATGCATAAGTGTTTTTGTTCCTTTTCGTCTGTCGTTTCAAGCCAACAAATGCACGAATTAAACTACGGTTGATTTCATTAGAAAAAGCAATTATTTTTCTGCAAAATAACATTAAAACGGGTTTAAAAATATTTAATGCCTGGATTTTCTTGAGAGTATGAAGTCGGGTAGTCAAAAAGGGCTAACTCGATGATGCGGTTTAGACACCTTAGCTAAAGAAAACCTATCTTCGTGTCAATAGATAAAAGATAGAGAAAAAAAACGTTTGATATTTCGCCAAAATTTCGGAGAAATTCATTCAGCCAATTTTTCCGTAGAGTTTTTTATAGATTTTTACGAAAAAGGCGTTTTTCACTCTCGAATTTGCTTGAAAGTGAACCGAAATTCATTTAAAAAGATGCTAATTCAACAAAAAAACACTTTTTTTATAGAGCAAACTATAGATTAATTCGTGAATTTGTTACTTTTTAACAGAAGTACGAAAAAAACGAAAAGACTTATGCATCAACCTATTATATCGTTAACAAAAAAATTAGAAATTGTTTAGATATATACCAAAAATCACATCGTTTTACAAACTTTACGCCTATTGCTACTAAACGTCCAATCAGCTGCCAAAGTAGATACAAACTTCTTCTTGTGAAAAGTGTTCCAGTCACAATTTGTTTAAATTTTTATTTTCAATAAATACCGGAAGAAAAAACGGGTGCACAAAAAAATGTCACCTCCCTTACTGCCTCCTTTGCTTGATAACTGCCTGAATCTCGTGGCATCGAATCATCAAATCCTCAAGATTTGAGGAGAATTTTTCCGCCATTCGCTTCGATGATACAAGCTCAACCTTGGTCGCAAATGTTTGCCCTTCAGTTTACCCTTGATGTCGACCACAAATCTCGATTGTTGAGTGGGCTGGGGGGCAGCGACGGTGACGAAGCGCATCCGGAACGAGCCTTCCACGTTTGAAAGTCGGCCCCCTTCTATCAACATCTGGGCTTTGACGGAGCTTATCTTGTACAACCCTCCTTGTCCATATTCGTGGTCGCAATGGAAAATCATTCTAGGATCGTCTTGTACCGCTGGGCCTTCAGTTGAGTTGAGAAAGACGAGCGGACCTGGTGAACTTCAGTTATCGCTCCTGAAAAAACAAGATTAGTGACATAGGAACAATCTTTTACCCCATAGCATAATCGATCCGCCACCAAATTTGACTGTCGGCCGCGTATTGATGTTATGGCTTGTCCAACTGGTCTCGGATTATGCTATGGGGTAAAGACTTGTTCCCTTATGTCAACTAATCTTGCTTTTTCAGAGCGATAACTAGAAGTTCACCAGGTCCGCTCGTCTTTCTCAACTCAATCTTGAAGGCCCAGCGGTACAAGACGATCCTGGAGAATGATCTTCTTCCATTTGCGACCACGAATATGGGACAAGGATGGTTGTTGTACATGGATAACGCTCCGTGTCACAAGCACCAGATGTTGATAGGAAGGGTCGGCCGACTTTCAAACGGTGGAAGGGCTCGTTTACCGGGATGGTTCGCTGACAATCGTGTCAAACTCGTCGCTGCTCCACCTACAGCCCGGATCTCAACGTAATCGAGCATTTGTGGTCGCACATCAAGGGTAAACTGAAGGGCAAACGATTTGCGACCAAGGTTGAGCTTTGGTACTTCATTCGAAGCGAATGGAGGAAAATTCCTCCTCAAATCTTGGAGGATTTGACTGATTCGATGCCACGGAGGATTCAGGCAGTTATTCAAGCTAAGGGAGGCCCAGCTAAGGGAGGTTCAAGCTAAATGTGACATTTTTTTTGTGCACTCGTTTTTGGTGTTCTTCCGGTATTTATTGAAAAATAAAAATTTAAACAAATTGCTGGAACTTGAACACTTTTTCACAAGAAAGTAGAAGCTTTTTGCTATCTAAAACCTTTTGACAGCATAGAATTTGGAACACGTTTAGTAGATCAAATTTAGGCGTAAAGTTTTGTAAAAACGATGTGACATTTTTTTGTGCATGGGTGTATTTATTTAAACAAAATAAAAATAAAAAACGTGGATTACTTTTTCACACACCTAATAGAATAACGTAAATTTAGGAATGTATCGAAAAATTTGAATCGACTTAGAATTAGTTTTAGTTTCGATTCTCAAAGTTCTCTCGATTCTCAAAGCAACAAAACAAATGAGTGCCCGTATTTCGTGTCGTTTATTGGATTTGATCCCTCAAATCAGCAACCAAAATTTTTAAGCGGAGAGAGCGATTTTTGGTGACGAATCAAAGTCGAGTCACGCACTAAAATGCGAAGATTTCTCATTGAAATCACCCGCCCTTTGCCCTTTATCACTGGCAAATAAAAAGACCAAAGCAAGTTCACCAAAAGCGCTTGTACAACATGTTCTTTCCACTGTTTATCGCCTTGTTTTCCTTCAAGAAGGTATGTTGCTGAAAATTGATTTTAAATCATTTCAAGCTCAAATTATTTCAACTATTTTAGCTGAAAGCCTTGACAAATTGATTTCTTTGACAAAAATCGATGGCTCATATGCGATGTCCGGGTATCAGTTTCGAATGTATGAGGTGAGTTTTGGGGGAGGGGGTTTGTTGTGAAATGTTGCATGTTTGCAAATTGCTAAATATGAATAGTCGCCTAAAGATGCTATGAAAGCTATGAAAAACAAAACAAATGAACTACCCTAAAGTCTCGAGTATAAGTTGATCCGAGTATAAGTTCTGCCTTAATTTACATTCGCTTTAATTGCTTTGAATTTCTTTTTGTTGGGTTTTTATACATTTTTATTGTTATATAAACTTTTATTATTGTTCTTGGAGCGCGGGATACTACAGGGTGACAGCCTATCACCATTGCTATTTGTTATGTGCATGGATACATCCAGACGATAGTGTTGAAGAAGACGCTGGAAAGCATCTCTTTCGACCGTCGACGTGGACTTTGGCCGGATGAAGAGGCCAGGGAGGGCCATGAAGAGGCCAGGAGGGCCATGAAGAGGCCAGGGAGGGCCATGAAGAGGCCAGGGAGGGATCCATAAGACTGAGCACTGGAGAGGAGCAGGGCGGACGCGCCGAGCCACGCCCGGAGCAACAAATAACAGCATAAAATTGCTATAACCCTCAATAAATTTACTTCTATTATTGTTCTTGTTAACTGTTAACTTAAAAGCAAAAAGTTATGCTGCAGCGGGGTTCGAACCCTCGACACCCGCACCGAGACAGCCGTCAATTTGCATGCGAAAAACAAAACAGAACTTATACTCGCGACTTTAGGGTACTATTGTAATCTTAAAAAAGTCGCTAACCTAGTTGGGTTGATGGATTGAGAAATTGACACCAATTAATTTCAGCTGTTCTTATACTGATTCAGAAATTAAACCAGCAGAAAACCGAGGCATTGATTGTCTCCAAAAACAAAACGAATTCCAAACGCCAAACTCGGATTTGAGCCGGACAGATGTACACACAGTTGACCAGTTTTCCAACAATTGGCCTACTACTACTACTATTTATAGTTCAATTTCAAATTGAAAATAAAGCAATACTTGAGCCTCAAAAACTAGCTTCAAACTAGCTTCAAACTAGCTTCAAAACTAATTAACCCTTCACATAAAGCACCTCTAGAAAATCATCGTTGAAAACAAAGAGAATCCGAATGGGACAATTTACGTTTCATCCGCCACAATTCACACTCCAGCTAACGAGACCGATCCACAAGTCTGGATCACCGATGATGTCGGGAACTACTCGTAGGTTTTTTCTAAACAGTGAACTGATAAGAGCTTATAAAATCCTCAACTAAAGTTCAATATTTAGAGCGCTTCAAACTGGCAAACGCTTCTTTGGCCCGCGAGTAACATTGTCGCTTGGAGTGGATCGAAATCCCAACTTTGTCATTCATTTCATTCGAAGCGATGAAACGAATCGTTGGTTTACTTTCAAGCTATCAAAATTTGAGCCTGTGAAACTACAACAGAGTACAGACTACAATAAAGTACAGTAGGATACAGCACAGTAGAATACAGTACAGTACAGTACAATACAGTACAGTACAGTACAATACAGTACAGTACAGTACAGTACAGTACAATACAGTACTTAAAGAGCTACTGTACAGTGCACTTAAGACTTCTTATAGTACTTACAAAGTAACAGATCTTATATGAGATCTTATAGTAGCAGTTTCGTTTTTTTAGGCTGTGGAAAACTTCTATTAACAATAAGATAAAATTGTAGCTGATTCTATTCTTCAGGTAACGCAAATATCACCGTGGCTGATGCACTCACTTCGGTCGATGTGGATGGATTGACGTGGAATGTTGTGAGCTGTAAGTAAATGAGATCTTTGTCTTTTTTAAATCACTCAACAACACTGCTGAAAGTCTACAATTTACCTTTAGTATACAATTTACCATTTTCTTATACGTTTGTCTCAAATGAATTCACTCCAAACCCAACTCTTGAGTGCCAAGTGACGAATATGCCGGTGGGTTTTTAGTCAATGATAGAATGATAAGTGAAATTTTAATTCTGCTAGATTTAATCAAGCTTTAGATTAACAACTGCACCGTTGACATGTACCTCGGCGGACGTCCGAGCGAGGAGGGGAAAGAAAAATATCGATTAGCTAGTTTTACGTAAGAGATTTCAATTTAACGTTTCAATGTAACGTTGCAATTTAACGTTTCAATGTAACGTTTCAATTTAACGTTTCAATTCAACGTTTCAATGTAATGTTTCAATTTAACGTCTCGATTTAACGTTTCAATTTAACGTTTCAATGTAACGTTTCAATTTAACGTTTTAATTTAACGTTTTAATTTAACGTTTCAATGTAATGTTTCAATTTAACGTTTCAATTTAACGTTTCAATGTAACGTCTCAATTTAACGTCTCAATTTAACGTTTCAATTTAACGTTTCAATGTAACGATAAAGGAATGAATGAAATTTCAGAAATGAAACAATTGGAAACTATCGAACGAGTTACGTTTACGGATACGCGGTCACATTTCTCGTCCCAGCCAATTGTAAGGCCGATTATGTGTGCCGAGGGAGAAGCTGTAAGTGGAAAATTGTGGCATCATAGGATAAGCTCTTTGCTGGAGTGCTTTACAGGAGATATCTAAATACACAGTAGTAAGGCTAATTGATTGAATGATTTTGACGGTTACCAAGTGCCTCAATTCAAAAAACAAAGCAAAAAAAGCATTGCCTCAATTCTAAACAAAGCTCAAACCACCGTAGATAAACATTTCAGTAAGCAAAAGTTATTCATTTATAATATAAAAGCACTTGCGACGTTTTTTCGAGAAAATTCTGGGTTGACGCTTTAAAGCGCGGTAAAACTACCGTACCCCTCGAATAAAAGACAGCACGAAATCTCATTTTTTTTTTGTTCATTTCATTTTATTCTTTTTGGGTTTTTCTGATTTGTTCTGGTTGTTTTTGCAGAAAACAAGAAGAATAAAGCTAATTTACGTTTTTAACAGTATTTTCTGTGGCGGAAACTTTATTTGTAGAGTTTTTTTAAACCCACTTGCTTCCTGACGAGCTACTCTACGGACTTGATGCAAACGAATGCTAAGTTAAGTGGTTTTTATCATTTTCTATGGCGGAAACTTTGTTTTTGTGAATTTTTATTTGAATAGAAAATGATAAAAACCACTTAACTATGGTGAAAGCTTTATTTGTAAAGTTTTTTTAAACCCACGTGCTTCCTGACGAGCTACTCTACGGACTTGATGCGATCAAGTCTAATGTTTAAGTGGTTTTTTTTCATTTTCTATGGGGGAAGCTTTATTTGTAAAGTTTTTTTAAACCCACGTGCTTCCTGACGATCTACTCTACGGACTTGATGCAAACGAATGCTAAGTTAAGTGGTTTTTATCATTTTCTATGGGGGAAGCTTTATTTGTAAAGTTTTTTTAAACCCACGTGCTTCCTGACGAGCTACTCTACGGACTTGATGCGAACTAATGTTAAGTTAAGTGGTTTTTACCATTTTCTATGGCGGAAACTTTGTTTTTGTGAATTTTTATTTGAAAAAACGTTGAAAAAAACGCAAAAAGAATAAAAGGAAACTAAGAAGAATGAAAAAGAATGCGTTTGTTTTTGCAGGAAACAAAGAGGACAAAGCTAAGTTACGTTTTTAAAAGTATTTTCTGTGGCGGAAACTTTATTTGTAGAGTTTTTTTTAAACCCACTTGCTTCCTGACGATCTATTTTACGGACTTGATGCAAACGAATGCTAAATTCGCCACGAAGCCATTTTTCGCTTAAATGGCCATTTGGACGACAGAGTTCTATGCTAGCTGTCGATCGGAAAATTTTTACTCCGGTTTTTTTGGAGTGCGGAATTCGAATCCGGTTTTAGTTTTCAATTACAGTAAACCCTAAGGCTGGAAATAGTAGTAGCACGTACTTTAACCGGAAAATAGGTTAGAACAAGCTGAAAACGTTCACCCGGCGGTTTTCCGGGGTTGGAAAACCGAATTCAGCCGAAATACTTACGCGAAATATCAATGGAAAACCGTAATACCTCCACAAACACGACATTTTATGTTGGTAAAGCAAAGCTGGGTAATTCAACCGAAAGTGATCAAAATGAAGAACGTTTTACGTTTATAATGCATATCAAAACCCTGTGCCAGAAGCCGCGCGATTACGTAAACATAAAAATTTTCATTTTTTACATAAGCGCGCGCCCTCTGGCACACAGTCGAATTTGTTAAGTGGTTTTTATCATTTTCTATGGCGAAAGCTTTGTTTTTGTGACTTTCTAATCGCACTATCTTTTATACATGCAAATTAGCAGCATTAAAGCGCCAAACCCAGGATTTTCTCGGAAAAAGGTTGCAAGTATTGCAAGTATGCAATCTAAAAGCACCGGCGTAAACCGTAAAGCAACTCATTTTTCTCATTTGCTCGCACTGTCATTATTCCAATTGTTGGTTTGTAAAATAATCTTAAATCATGCTTACATTGTCTTCTGTTCTCTCCCTTTCATTGTTTTCTCACCACGGTTTAATTTCCCAAATTTGAGGTGACGATAAACACTTGTACAACTTGACAAATCTCTGCAACTAGAACTCTAAGCATTCTGATTATTCTAAGCATTTGGCTTGCTCATTTGATTAAAGCTATTTGATTGCTCAATAGTAACTATTTGATTGCTCAATAGCAATTATTTGATTGCTCAATAGCAACTGTTCGATTGCTCAATAGCAACTGTTTGATTGCCCAATAGCAATTATTTGATTGCTCAATAGCAACCCCGCAACATTAAGTTGCAACAATAACAGCAATAAAAACAGAGCAACTTACTATAGGGCTAGAGGCCAAAATTTGCTGTTGTTCTGTGTCTGAAGTGAATAGAAAAATTTTGACATTCAAGGAACTTTTCAGATGTTACTGAGACTTCCCCAGATGAGAACTCAATGGGTTTCTTCATGAGTGCTGAGTACCCGGGTGTGTTTGATACAGAGCATCGAGCTGGTTCGGATGGTGCTTGGCTGAAAAAGGCCGAATGGACTTGTAAGTGAAAGCCTAAAATCAAGAAATATTATAAGTAACAAGAAATATTATAAGTTCTACTCAATATCAATAGATCCATCAAACGTCACTTTCTTTGTGCAATCGGTGGACACTGGGATCGGTGGAAGCTTGGGGATTACTGTTGCTGGGAAATATAATTTGTTAGTTCAAGGGTTGCGGTTGCTATATGAAAATACGAAACATTTAGCTCTGGAACAATAACAACAACGGTCACCACTTCGGAAGTTGCAAAAGGGATTACGGTAAGCAGATTAACTGGCTTAAATTTATCAAGTTGTTGAATGAAATCGGTAATTTGATACGGTATCCGCTCTTGACGCTCTTGACGCTCTTGACAACAACAATGAGCTCACTTCAAAAATACCCAGCCAGAAAAGCCCGTCGTTAGGCAATTAGGCAGGTTTTTTGGCTGGTATGTTGATAAATAATAGGTTGGTTGATTGACTGGTTGATAAATAGATTTCCTCACAATATCCAACTTTCAGATTGACTGGCAACCATCAGACGACGTGAGATACGGCTTCTTGACTAGATGGTCGTCTTATCTAGCTGATGTGCCCACTCCACCATCGACAATCACCACATCTCTTGATTCAGCCACACACACAACCACTCTATCAACCACCACAAAAACAGTTTCCATTCTTTCACTTGGCAAATCCTTGGCAATTTTATTTGTTTTCATGATGATTCGTGGTTAAGTTTATTGATTGCTGTGGATTGTTTAATTGATTGCTGTGGATTGTTGAATTGTTGCTGCTTTAATGATTGCAATTTTTCTTTGATCTTTCCAAATACGGGCTAAATAAAGAGTTCTTTCACACACACAAGATGAATGCTTTAACTTTAAAGCTGTAGATGCTATATAAACTGGTACTTTAACACGTTGACGACAATGGCGTTTTTGCACAAACAATCGCATGGGACATCAGGTGACAATGTCCCAGGCGAACGAATATGTGTCAGACAGCATCAGGTGACAATGTTGTCAACGTGTTAACTCAGTCGCGACAATTTGCCCCACAAAGTTGGACAGCCATGTTAACTCCGCCTTTTTTTCGGTCTTGCCTTTGGCAATCTATGAATTTTGCTCGTATCTTAGCCGGGTTTTTTCCAAAAAAACGTCGAATTTGTCTCGAAATCAAATTTTCTATCGAATGAAAGCAAATTCAACGTGTTTCAAATAACCCCGGTCAAGGTACGAGCAAAATTCGTAGATTGCCAACGGCAAACGGATCGAAAAAGGAGCGGAATTATTGAGTAATGTCAATTGAGTAATTGAGTAATTATTGAGTGAGTAATTATTGAGTAATTATTGAGTTATTGAGTAATTGAGTGGTTGAGGAAAAAGTGATGTCGGTTTTTGTCACAAAACTGTTTATTGATAAAAATATAAACAAACGCAGATCAATCAATGAGATATCCTTCATTATTATTATTACTTGTTCCCCATAAGAAAACTCTTCAACAACCGAAACAAAAAATAATCTGATGGGACCAGGTCCGGACTATAAGGTGCGTGGGGCGGTCATTTCAGCTCCGGTCCTTGAACGATTTCCCCAACAAAGCACAAGCACAAGCTGCACAACAGAGCACAAGCTGCACAACAAAGCACAAGCTGTTCACCGGAATCAATTCAATGAACTCCTGCGTCATTGTGCTCTTGCAAGTTTGCTTTCTGGTCTTCAAAAAGCCATTGCTGAGATCAGGATACACACAAAACTCCCCCTCAATTCCTGGTAGACAAGGGAGTTTTCTGAGTGACGAATCGACGAATCATCGACATTAAAACTTGGAAAATTCCATTGAAACCTTATCGGCAACAAATAAAAGGCCAGAGCACAGTCAACGGGAAGAAAAAGAGAAATTTCACTGTCTGCAAAATGTCTGCAATGTCTCTGTTATTGTTTTTGATTTTGTTACATCAAGGTTTGTTAGTTTATTATTTTTATTATATTAGTTATTATACTAACTATTCTATTAGTTATTATATTAGTTATTCTATTAGTTATTCTATTAGTTATGATATTAGTTATTCTATTGGTTAGTCTATTAGTTATTATATTAGTTATTATATTAGTTATTCTATTAGTTATTCTATTAGCTATGACATTAGCTGTGGAAGCTTTCCCTATCCCCTTCAAAATCTCAACATTTTTCCACTGGTAAATTTAGTTTCTCTTTGGTAATTAACAATATTCCTATCAATTACATTAGTAAATTAGATTTTGTTAGAGATTTAGGTGTCCACATCTCTCCCCCTTTTAATTTCACTAAACATATTGAAATCATTTGTCGAAAAGATTCTTTTGTTTCTAGCCGTATTCTCAAATCAATTGTTCATCCTAACCTAAACTCTTACCGCAAATGCTTGACGACTTATATCCGGCCCATCTTAGAATATGCTTCTATTGTTTGGTCTCCCCGCGCACAAGTCTTTATTGAACGCTTGGAGAAAATTCAGAGGAGGTTCACAAAAGTCGCTTTATGGAAAATTGACTATTCTAAATATTCTAGCTTTACTTATGAGGAGAGACTTGCTTTTTTTGAACTAAAAACTTTACAGCATCGTCGCTTTGTCATTGATTTAGTCGAAACTTTCAAAATCCTCCGTTGTAAACAGATTAGCCCTTTGTTTATAGACTTTTTCAAATTTAAACCGCGGTCAGGGCCCAGAAGTGGCTCATTCCTTTTGCAAATTCCCTTTGCTTCCAATGCCTCTTTATCAAATTCATTTCCCGTTAGAGCCGCTAGATTATGGAACTTGCTCCCAAACGACATACGAGAAATTCAGTCGCTTTTCATATTCAAGAAACGTATCGATGCTTTAGATCTAGTGGCTCTTTGCCGTAAGTATTAGGTTGATGCAAAAGTCTTTTTCATTTTTTTCGTACTTCCGTTAAAAAGTAACAAATGCACCAATTGAACAACGGTTTATTGCATTCGAAAGGCCAATTATTTTTCTGCAAAATGACATTAAAACGAGTTTAAAATGTCTTATGTCTAGATTTTTTTTGAGAGCCTGAAGTCGGGTAGTCAAAAAAGGCGACGGCTCGATGATGCATTTTAGACGCTTTAGCTAAGGAAACCAATCTTGATGTTAATAAATAAAAGATAGAGCACAAAAAGTTAGATATTTTTTCAGATTTTCAGAGAAATTGATTCAGCCAATTTCTTTATAGAGGTTTTTATAGATTTTTATGAAAAACCCGTTTTCACTCTCGAATTTGCTTGAAAGTGAACCCAAATTGACTTAAAAAGATGGGAAATTGAACAATAAACACTTTTCATTCAGAGCAAACCATAGGTTAATTGATGACTTTGTTATTTTTCAAAAGAAGTACGAAAAAAATGAAAAAGACTTTTGCATCAACCTAATAATTGGCTTATTGATTTCAGTATGTATTGTATGATTAAGTATCACTGTGCATTTCTCTATGATTTCTTTCACTTTATCGTTTGAATAAAGTATTATTATATTATTATATTAGTTATTACATTAGTTATTATATTAGTTATTCTATTAGTTATGATATTAGTTATTCTATTGATTAGTCTATTGGTTATTCTATTAGCTATTCTATTAGTTATTATATTAGTTATTCTATTAGTTATTATATTAGTTATTACATTAGTTATTATATTAGTTATTATATTAGTTATTCTATTAGTTATTCTGTTGGTTATTACATTAGTTATTATATTAGTTATTCTATTAGTTATTCTGTTGGTTATTCTATTAGTTATTACATTAGTTATTCTATTGGTTATTCTATTAGCTATTCTATTAGTTATTACATTAGTTATTATATTAGTTATTCTATTAGTTATTACATTAGTTATTCTATTGGTTATTCTATTGGTTATTCTATTAGTTATTCTATTAGTTATTACATTAGTTATTCTATTGGTTATTCTATTGGTTATTCTATTAGTTATTCTATTAGTTATTCTTTTAGTTATTATATTAGTGAAAGGCGGTGCCAGATATTTTCAAGTGAAAAAGTTAGATTTAGAGTTTTTGGAATATCTTTTTGCGGATTACAGTAGATAAAACAAACGAATAGTTTTCCGTTTCGTCAACAATTCGAGCTTGTGGTTTTGTGGAACCGATTGCTGTTGAAATCGCAATTTAGTTGCTGTTTAGTAACCCTAAATTTAGCGTTTAAGCACAGCTTTTTTATTAGCTTTTTAGCTATTAGTTTTTTTAGCTTTCTACGGCTTAATATTGTCTAGTATTAATATTAATAGTGTGGCTCATTGTCCGCGCAATCCTGGCCTAATATTGCCGGACATCAAACTTAGAAAAGTTTAATCTTGAGTCTTGAGTCTTGAGAACATAAGAATTAGAAAATCCTCATCTTCTCAAGACTTTTCAATTTAGTTCAAAGTGTTGACAAGGTGATCTCATTGACAAACATCGATGCCTCCTATGTGATTTCCGGTTACCTATTCCAGACATACACAGTAAGCGTTTGAAACTTTCAATTCTCGACAATAACTCACTCAAAAATCGATAGTCAATGTTGAATGTTCAATCGAAAATTCGAACTTTTCAGAATATCATCGTCGAGAACAAGGATAATTCGCGCGGATTGATTTGGGTGATTTCAACAGCAATCGGTGCCACACAACCACAAGCTCGAATTGTTGACGAAACGGGAAACTATTCGTTTGTTTTATCTACTGTAAATACTGTAAAATGTCTATATGTCTTTGTCTATAGGTTTCAAAATGTCTATACTGTAAATACTGTAATAGTACCCCACCGCCCTCGTACAGCCGCCTAGTCGCAAAAGTTTTTTAGTATTTCTCTTTTTTTCGAAGCGCTCATACTTTCAAAAAATGTGTCTTTGGTATCAAAAATAGCCCTGAATCTCAGCTATTTTTGATACCTAAGCGAGCATTGTAGCATAAACCAGTGTTGAGAAAAACTCGTTCAAAGCTAGAGCTACGCAACACTCCGCACCGTCATTATGGGACTGGGGTACTATTATAGTATTTACGGTAGGCACATAATCAAACCGTAGGTCAAGGACCGGAATGAGAAGATCTTTAAGGATATTCAAATATCAAATAGAACATTGAGACGTAAAGTCAAAAGGAGAATGAGAAACTTTACATAGTCAGATACAGAACCAATCAGTCTACAGAGTGGCGCCCAATTATGGAAACTAGCTTTTTCGACTGTAACTACTGGTGACACAAGTAGCCCTGAATCTCAGCTATTTTTGATACCTAAACGCGCATTGTAGCATAAACCAGTGTTGAGAAAAACTCGTTCAAAGCTAGAGCTACGCAACACTCCGCACCGTCATTATGGGGATGGGGTACTCTTACAGTATTTACGGTAAGTATTCAAAAGATCCGTTAGATTTTTCAAACGCTGACTTTTTCCGGAAAGTCAAAGAAAGAATTCGACTTTTTCGGAACTACTCTGGCGGGATTATCTATTAAGATATAAAACAAAACGCAAGATGTTTGGCGTCAAAGTTTAGTCGATTTTCTTAGAGCTGTTACAAGTCTCTAGTTCTACCCTGGTTCAAATCCTAAAGTGTGATTTTTTGCTTTCTATCAGAGTCATAAAATTTCAGAGCAGTCCCCGCTTCGGCTATTTTGGCCCAGGAAAGTTGACTCTTTCTTTGGGAGCTGATCGAAATCGCAATTTCGTCATTCACTTTTTGCGAACTGATGAGACAAAGCGTTAGTTTTTTAAGGATAAAAATCCAAAGTTGATTCACAAAATCAAATAAATATTGTACTAACAGCTAGTCTGATGTCAGTGCTACATCTAGATAGAAATCATTTGTAGTCATTTTTTCAGGAAACGCTGTCTTTCCATACGACACTGGGATCACTTCTGTTTCCGCTAATAGCAAAACAATGGGAGTCATGGCGAGCGGTGGGTTTTAAAGTAGTAGGCTCCATAATTTAAACATTTCAAATATCTTTCTAGATAGTGGACCAATGATGTATACGTTTGTCTCTTCTGATTTCACTGCTTTTTCCTCAAATGGAGTGCTTGGTCGGAGAGGGCTCAGGTTGGTTAAAAGCTGTTGTAAAAGTAAAAAGCTGTTGAAAACGAGTAAACAGTAAGAAAAGTAGGAAAAGTCAGGAGTGATGATCATGCAAGATCAAGAGATTAAAGGCCAGGTGCAAGAGTAGCTTTGGATATTCAGGCCAGGCTAGGTCAGAAGTCTAATCATAGTCTGGTCGAGCCTCACTGGAGCAAAGCTTGATCAAAACTGCTTCTAGCGTGACTTTTGTGATTTTGGAAACATCAGCAATAATGAGTTTCAGATAGTGGACCAATAAAGCAATACCAGTTCAAAAATAATTACTCCAACCAAACAAACTCATTTATAGAATACATTAGATTGTTCGGATATTTAGTTTAGTTTAGTTTAGCTCAGCTCAACATAAGTTTAGACAAAAGACTGCACCGTTGATATGTACCTTGGTGGAATGCCGAGCGAGGCGGGGAAAGAAAATATCGATTGGCCAGTTTTACGTAAGTTAAAGATATAGATGAAGTTAAAAATTCAATTTCAGACGAGATTCGGTCGCAAGATACAGAACGAGCTACTATATCTATGGCTATGGAGTGACATTCTTAGTGCCGGCTGGATGTGATGCTGGCTATGCGTGCATGGGAAGCAATGGTTTGTTCAAACAAGATCAAGAACAACTAATCACGATAATCAAGATACCGAATCTCATAAAAATCCCAGAAAATCCCAGATTTATTTATTGTATATAAGCTGCACAATTTTAAGTACTTCCTCCAGAGACAAGACCCGACGAGAATTCGATGGGTTTCTTCATGAGTTCCCAGTATCCCGGTGTTTTCAATACGGAATGGTCTGGGACGATTTTAACATCGCAACTCCAATCGTGGACTTGTCTGTGAAGATTTAGAAAAACAAGAATGAATACTTTGTTTAGCTCCATCGAATATCACTTTCACTGTGCAATCGGTGGACCCAGGAAAAACTGGCTATTTGGCGATCACACTCGGACAATCAGCGACGGGCGAACTAAAGAATTTGTGAGCTTCCTTTTTTATAAAGAAAAAATGATCTCATTTTTAGTACCGAGATAACGACCACACCAACCACACTTTCAAGCGTCGCTAATCGATTTATGGTCAGCTATTTATTAAGAGACAGATCTTACAAGTAAAACTCTAAACGCTTTAACACATTCACGACGAGATGGGGAAACGATTTTATAGGTTTAGGATTAGGCTTAGCCTCAAGCTTAGCCTCAGGCTTGGACTCAGTCTCGGCTAAGACAGAGTCTATTTGGTTTAGGATTTTCCGGTGATTTTCATATTGGGCTTAGGCCAGGCTTGGCACTTAGTGCGAAGGCTAACGGCAAGCGCCTTTGCGCTAAGTCTATTTGGGTTTGGGCTCAACCCCCATTTTCTGGTCTCGGCCAGTTCCCAGAGCTCAGGCTTAGGCTTAGACTTATTAGGCTTGGACTTAGTGAGAAGGCTAGCGGCTAGCGCCTGGCACTAAGTCTATTTGGGTTTGGGCTTAGGCTTAGGCTTAGGCTTAGACTCAGGCTTAGACTTAGGCTCAAGCAGAACCCAAAATCTCGGTCGTACGTAGAACTTTTTTGAGGCCGATTGGGCTGAAGATTTTCACCTCCGGGTTTTCGGGGTCAAGGAATTCGAATACGTTATTAGTTTTTAAAGAAAGCTGCTCTATTTTTGGATATTTCGTTCGGTTTAATTACCTAAATGCGACCCAGACATCTAGAAAATGGGCGCGATTACAAAAAAACGTGACAATTTTCATGTTTACGTAATCGTGCGGCTTCTGGCACACGGCTTCTAGGGATATAAGGCAGTACCCGAAATCTGTTGCGCTCTTTTTTTCTCAAATTTGGTTTAATTACTCAAGTTTTTATGGTGTTTTGTGATGACCGTTTCACTTGGAAATTAAGGTTGTTCAAAAAAGCTAGTAACGGATACCCCAGAATGGCTCCGGTTGCAAATTTTCAGGTCTACAGCTAACAGATCATTTTTTGGATCAACTCGAGTTTTTAAGGACTTTCATTATTCATTTTGCAGAAAGCTCTCGATAACTTTATATCAATTTTCAAGCGGAAATTCAACGCTATCAAATGAGCTTTAATAGTTTAGTTTATCTTTGTATGTTCACCAAATTATCAGGCTCAGGCTTAGGCTCAGGCTCAGGCTTAGGCTCAGGCTCAGGCTTAGGCTCAGGCTCAGGTCCAGGCTCAGGCTCAGGCCTTGGGCTTAGGCTGAGGCTTAGGCTCAGGCTCAGGCTCAGGCTTAGGCTCAGGCTCACGGGTAACGACGAAGCGACTGTACATTCAAAATACCGTCGCTGCGAATGTGCTAAAGCTTTACTCGTTTCTTTTGTCACTTTTAATTGAGTCATGAATGCTGATGACTGATTTAAACAATCAATCAATATTCTTTAAATACCAAAGAAGTGATTTCAGATTTCCTGGCAACCATCGGATGATGTGAAGTACGGTTATTTGGCCAGATGGTCGACCTATTTAGCCAACTCACCAACAGGTACAACAACTACAGGCACAACAGGCACAACAGGCACAACAGGCAACAACAGGCACAACAGGCACAGCAGGCACAACAGGCACAACAGGCACAACAGGCACAACAGGCACAGCAGGCACAACAGGCACAACAGGCACAACAGGCACAACAACAGCAGGCACAACAACAACAGGCACAATAGGCACAACAACAACAACAACAACAACATCGAGATCGACAACAACGAAATCAACTTCGTTAACTAATTTGATCAATTCATTTATTTCCTTGCTTTTTGTAACATTGTATTCGCCAATGATCGCAATTGTTATCTGAAATTGTCTCTGAGTAATGCGGGTGAAATAAAGAGAAAATGTTTTATGTTGTTAGCAACTTATCCCAAGAACCAGGCAAACAAGACCAGCCGGAAAGTTGGACATGAAGTTTAACAGTTTCAATTGTAAATCGCAAATGAATGTCAAATATAAAGTAGTTAGAAAGCTACTTTCCGATCATACCGTACTCCAGATCAAGCAGCGATTTTTGATTGGCGGGACATTTGAAACGCGTCCGCCCCTTTGCCAGTGGCAATCGAGCTTTGAGCTCAAATATCTTGGTGTTGGGCTGTTCAATTTGAAATAGTTTTTGTACCAATCGATAGAGAGGGACTTGGCGCATCTAATGATACCAAGAATATTTTAAATTGGTGAATCCCAACACCAAGAGATTTGAGCTCAAAGTTAAATTGCCAATGGCAAAAGAGGTGGGGCGTGGATCAAATGTCCGCTAGTAATCATCTATTTCTCCCTTTTTATTAACCCGCTTGGAGCCAAGTTTGTACACTGAAAATTTCCAACCGAACACCAAGGAAGCTCAAAGCTCAAAGTTCCCATGAGCAGAGTGTTGCTGAGGCGGATGACGGGGGATTGGCCGCGTTGCCGGAAAGTTCTCGTTTCCCTGAAGATCTCCATCGAATACTCCAATCACTCCTGATCTTAAGAAACAAATCTTTGTGCGGGTACCTGAAGGTGCTTTTGGAAGTGAGTTTGTGAGATTGGTGGGACATTTGACATTGCCATTGGCAATCCAACTTTGAGCTCAAATTTCGAGACTTTAAGGACTGTCCAATTTAAACATTTTTGGTATCATTAGATGCGCCGTTAACTCCTTCTTATCGTACTGGTGTAAAACTCTTTAAATTGAACGGCCAAACACCAAGGAATTTGAGCTCAAAGTTGGCAGTGCCCAAGGGGGTGGGCGGTATAAAAGGTAGCTTCGCCCCTTTGGCGGTGGCAATCTAACTTGAGCTCAATGTTCTTGGCTTTTGGGCTATCCGATTTAAATAGTTTTTATACCACTAATCGATAGAGAAAGAGACTGGGCGCATCTAATGATACCAAGAATATTTAAATTGGACCGGAATCCACCTCTAAGGGTTTCAAGCTCCAAAGTTAAAATGGCAAAAAGAACCAAGACCTGTCTGATAATGAAAAATTTACAATTCCTCTTTTTTTACGGTACCCAATTTTGATGCGGATCTCAGCAATTTTTTGGCACATTCTCGATCAGGAGAACGCGATCTGACCAAGGCTTTTGACTGTGTTTTGCTCCCGGCTTTCATCGATTCAATAACTCAATGCTCTCAGCGGCAGATGTTTGGAGATCAAAAGAAAAGGGGAAAGGAAGAAAGAGATCAGGAAAGCTCCGAGAGAAGGGAGATCCACCAAAAAGAGAGACTCACAGGTGCTCTCACCCCCCGAGCCTCATCAGAGACCCTTTCCTTTTCACCTAAAAACCTCTCACGAGTAGTCCCAGACAATATTTGTTGTTGATTTTATTGATGATCTCATTTTCTCTACCTTCAAGGAGAGAGTGCTGATCCCCCACCAACCGGGCTTTTTTGAGGAAATAAGTCTTTTCTCTTTTCTCTTTCCCAGGAGTTTGCCTCTCTTTTCTCCCCAAACAACTGAGTGCCCCGCAAAAAAGAAAAGAATTCGAAGAAAAGTGAAACTCCACTTTATTTTTTGCGCTAAAACTTTGCTAAATTGACGTTTGTTTTATTCAAACAGCTTTTTGGAAGGTTTTTGATTGGAGTGAACGGTGGAGGGAGCGTGGCCGACGATGATGTGAGTTGAGAGATGACTGGTTGATCATTTAAAGAAAGCATGATGACGGGTTGATGAGGGGCTGAGCTGGCAGGCTGGGAGGCTAGGAAGCTGGGGAGCTCGGAGGCTGGGAGGCTGGGGAACTGGGAGCTGAGAGCCGGGAGCAGAGGAGGCTGGGAGGCTGGGAGCTGGAGGCTAGGCCCCCAGCCCACCAGGGAACTAGCGAACCAGGAAACTGGCAGAGCTGGCAGGCTGGCAAAAAAGGCCCCAGCCCAGAGCTGAGGCCCAGGAGCTGGGAGGCTGGCAGGCTGAGGGAACTGGAGCTGGAGCTGGCAGGCTCGCAGGCTGGCAGGCTGGCAGGCTGGGAGGCTGGGAGGCTAGCAGGCCCCAGCAGGCTAGTAAGGAGATTGCTGTCCGGTTAGATGTTCTCGTTCAGGCACAAATAACTAGAGGTTAAACTTTTGAATAAACTCGAATATAACTCGAGATAACTTTTTGGACAAAACTCGAGTAGCTTCGAGATAACTTCGAATAACTTAACTTTAAATAACCCCAAATAACGAATAACTTTCTTTTATCTACTTTATCCCTATGCTTGCCCAAAAATTGCCTTTGTTCTGAGATTCTAACAAATCCCCGATACTTAAAAGATCCATGGATAACCGGAAAGTACTCAAGCAAACTAGCAACGGGCTAAACAAGTATACTACAAGGGTAATTATAGGGATAACTTTTTGGAAAAGTATCTGTGAAAATATTTAACAACATATAAAACTCTATATATATAAGAAGAACAATCATGCAAGCTCATTCAATGCGTGTATAAGTCCAAGAGAAAAGTTTTTGTGAATAAATGTAGTCAAGATTAAGGGCTACAATTCTCTATATAACATTTGATAGTTTTGAAATAAATTAGACATTTCCCAGCTACTTTTCCAAAAAGTTGTTGCTATGATCATTGGAAATTGGAAATAAGTCTTTGAAAGTCATGGTAAAGTCTTTGGAAGTTATGGTAAAATCTTTGGAAGTCATGGTAAAGTCATTGGAGAACTGTTTTTCGAGGAGAAGATAGTTTTCATAGCAAAGCAGAAGTTACATTGTTTCCCAAGGCCACTAAATTTCTGAATTGTGTACACTTTTTAGACTTTTTAGATTCTTTAATAGATTTACACAAATGTTTAGACATCTAATGCTTCATAGCTTGATAAAAATCTCACTGAAAGATTCAACAACACTAGCAGCAAATGGGCAGATTGCTAGGTAGCTTTTCTAGATAGCTTTCTTGTTTTTATAGCTTTGCCATGTTCCTGTTTTCTTTTTTAGGTCCTTGGAAGGTCCATTAGGTCCTTGGAAGGTCCATTAGGTCCTTGGAAGGTCCATTAGGTCCTTGGAAGGTCCATTAGGTCCTTGGAAGGTCCATTAGGTCCTTGGAAGGTCCATTAGGTCCTTGGAAGGTCCATTAGGTCCTTGGAAGGTCCGTTAGGTCCTTGGAAGGTCCATTAGGTCCTTGGAAGGTCCGTTAGGTCCTTAGAAGGTCCATTAGGTCCTTAGAAGGTCCATTAGGTCCTTGGAAGGTCCATTAAGTCCTTGGAAGGTCTGTTAGGTCCTTAGAAGGTCCATTAGGTCCTTGGAAGATCCATTAGGTCCTTGGAGGGTCCATTAGGTCCTTGGAAGGTCCATTAGGTCCTTGGAAGGTCCGTTAGGTCCTTAGAAGGTCCATTAGGTCCTTAGAAGGTCCATTAGGTCCTTGGAAGGTCCATTAAGTCCTTGGAAGGTCCGTTAGGTCCTTAGAAGGTCCATTAGGTCCTTGGAAGGTCTGTTAGGTCCTTGGAGGGTCCATTAGGTCCTTAGAAGGTCCATTAGGTCCTTGGAAGGTCCATTAGGTCCTTGGAGGGTCCATTAGGTCCTTGGAAGGTCCATTAGGTCCTTGGAAGGTCCGTTAGGTCCTTGGAAGGTCCATTAAGTCCTTGGAAGGTCCGTTAGGTCCTTAGAAGGTCCATTAGGTCCTTGGAAGGTCTGTTAGGTCCTTGGAGGGTCCATTAGGTCCTTGGAAGGTCCATTAGGTCCTCGAAGGTCCACAGCCCATTAGGTCCATTAGGGTCCATTAGGTCGATTAGGTCCATTAGGTCGATTAGGTCCATAAGGTCCTTGAAAATCGAAGATCATTCGGGGCTTAAGCTGAATCGAGCCGTTAACATGCTTGCTTGTTTGCTGAAAAATCATAAAAATCCCCTCTGATTAATCGTTTTTAGATAGAAATACGCCAATATTGGTGGCAAGCTGAGGTTGTTATTCAAATAAATATTACACCAAAACGAAGCTACAAACTTTTGACACTGTGCACCATTGTGGGTAATGACAGTAAACCTGTGTTCTACGCTTTAGAATTTATCGTTAAACTGATCGCTTAATAGTTTGATACCGATTAGACGAAATTTTTGATATAAAAATTTATCATAAGGGAAAGGCATCGGAGTCAATCGGCCTTTTGACTCGAGCGACCAAATCCATCCTAAGGGAGCTCGAACTCGAAGGCTATGGGAACTGGAATTCGTTCTCGAACCCGAACCTCCAACGGCCAAGGGAACCGTGGGAGTGGGACTCGAAACCGCCTGATGGGAAAAGAATGTCATAGGTCCGGTAGTCTAGCAGACTATCCGCTAGACGATCAAAAGAAGTCGTTAGGCGTGTGACGGCCTCATAAGGACCTCGGAATTCAACGTGATTTTCATATTCCAACATCTCCCGTTTGAGATAGCGTTCTACCAAAAGGAAAACGGATTCGAGATCTCCATGGTCAGACTCTATAAGATGTCCATATGATGGACTCTAGTCACGAGTCAAAAGGCACAGCTTGACGAGGTCACGAGGACTCTTGGTCACTAGTCAAAGGGCACAGCTGGACGAGGTCACGAGGACTTGGTCATGAGTCAAAAGGCTAATAATTTGAGACGAGGTCACGAGGACTCTGGTCACGAGTCTAAAGGCCAGTTGACGACTTGAGGTCACGAGGACTTGGTCAAGGAGTCAAAAGGCCACATGACGAGTACCACGAAGACTCTGGTCACTAGTCAAAAGGCCGAGACGGACGTGAGGTCAATGAGGACTGGTCACTGAAGTCAAAAGGCCAGCTCCACTCGGTGCTTTTCCCTTGTCAGATTAAATTCTTGAAGTCGGTTTTTTAGAAGATAAAGCGCTTTTCCCATAGCCGCTAGATTCGTTCTCCGACTTCTGGAAGGGGAAAGTATTCTAAAGATTGAAATAGTGAAAGTGCGACTATCTTTTTTAAATCTTTCACTTTGATAGAACCTCTATTTCAAATCTTTCAATTGATAAAATTTCTATTTTTCAAAATCCTTCGAAGCGCTTTTTGCTCTTTCCACACAGTTCTTTCTTTCACTCTTTTCATTCTTTTTTACTCTTTTGAACGGAAATTTGAACTGTTTCCACAAGTTTTTCAAAAAAGATCGCTTGGAGAGTTCAGAAAAATTACACGCATTAGGTAGATGTATAAGAAATGTGGATTTCAACATTTTCATCAATTTCTAAAGATAGAAAGCTGATGTTGAAAAATTAGAACGATGAATGTTATAAACTAGTTTGAAAGCTGTAAATCTCCTCTACAAAATAGGCTAAAACGTGTTTCAATTGATCGAAGCATTGAAGCAAATTTCGAGGGGCGGAAATGCGAGTGATCAAAAAAAGGAATCGAGTCACTTTAGGGACAAGTTTAGTGTCGTCAAAATAGTTCGGTTTTGACTATATAGTGGAAAAATGAGCGCCCTTCATTCAAAATCATTCAAATATCATTCAAATATCATTCAAATATCATTCAAATATCATTCTAAATCATTCAAAATAATTAAGAGTTCGGATCATTTTATGAAAAAACTTTGTTTTTACACTAATCACTTTTGAGTCACTTTAAGGACAGGTTTAGTGTGGTCAAAATAGAGTTAGCTTTCCAAAATTGAAGATTTAAAAAGAAAAGGATAATTATATATCAATTCATTCAAAAAAGTCTAACGGAAATGCATTTACAAAAAATTTAGATAGAGCGTAAGTTCAAAACCCTCAAAATTGTCAAAAACCGGCTTTTTCACAAAAGAAACATTATTGTAAAAACAAAGTTTTCCATGAAATGATCCCAACTCTTAATTATTTAGAATGATATTTGAATGGTTTAGAATGGTTTAGAATGATTTTGAATGGTTTAGAATGACTTTGAATGATTTTGAACGATTTTGAACGATTTTGAACGATTTTGAATGGTTTAGAATGATATTTGAATGGTTTAGAATGATATTTGAATGGTTTAGAATGATATTTTAATGATTTTGAACGATTTTGAACGATTTGAATGGTTTAGAATGGTTTAGGAATGACTTTGAATGATTTTGAACGATTTTGAACGATTTTGAACTTTTTGCGATTTTGAATGATTTTGAATGATTTTGAATGAAGGGCGCTCATTTTCCACTATATAGTCAAAACCGAACTATTTTGACGACACTAAACTTGTCCCTAAAGTGACTCGATTCCTTTTTTGGTCACTCGCATTTTGCCCTCGAAATTTGCTTCAATGCTTCGATCAATTGAAACACGTTTTAGCCTATTTTGTAGAGGAGATTTACAGCTTTCAAACGGTTTATAACATTCATCGATTCTAGTTTATAACATCAGCTTTCTATCGTTCCAAATTTAATTTATGAAAATGTTGAAATCCGCATTTCTTATGCATGTACAGTGCTGGACAATGAAATATGATATTTGAAAAAACGATCGTCACTTTCGTGCGTCTGTAACTCCCTTGTCGTTGTCCTCCCTTGTCCCTTAAACTATTAGGGTTATACATTTTCTGAAAGCTCTTTTCAAGGGCTACACAATGGTAATATTAATATTTAGAAATACGGTAAAGACAGGGAGTTACAGACGCGCGAAAGTGACGAAAGTGACAATCTTTTTTCAAATACAGTCGAAACTCTCTATAACGAACCTCGATATAACGTAAACCTCTCTATAACGTGGGGCGTGACCGGTCCCCGGCCGACGTTAAGCTATATAAAACGGCACTCTATATAACGTAAACCTCTATATAACGTAAGCTATAGCCGTCCCGTGAGTTACGTTATAGAGAGGTTCCACTGTATGATATTTCATTGTCCAGTAGTGTACCTAATAAATCCGAATAGTTGAAAGTGTGAATGAAAGATCTTTTCTGAGCAAAAGCATTTGATTTGAACCAAAATTCTAGGTGAGCGTCGAAGAATACAGCTATGAAGATGAAGACGAAGAGGAGTGGTCATATTATGAAGAGGTTTGGAAAAGTGATTCTTATTTATTCTTTTTCAAAAATTTTTACAAAATTTGACAAAATTTGACAAAAAATTCTAATTTTAAACAATTAAATGTGAAAATTTCTCTAATAAATCTCTAATAAACTTCTCATTTTTCATCATAAATCAATAATTATTGGATTGGTGAATTGAAAACCGCGGGCTATTGCCATATGTGACAGTTTGAGCACTTTCTTCAAAAGAAACCCATTTTGGTGTCAATGGAAAAGTTGTAGAGAATCAAAAATCAAGCTTATATCCAAATTTTCAGAACGATTCAAAAACTGATTTTCAAGAAATGCCAAATTTTCGGATTCCAATTCTATTTTCACAAAACTTGCATTTTAAGCGAAACTACTAAGTGTATCTTTTTTGAAAATTTGGCTATAAGCTTAATTTTTGATTCTCTACAACCTTTCTATTGACACAAAAATGGGTTCCTTTTTGAAGAAAGTGCTCAAACTGGGAGCCCCCGCCTTCCATCTCCAGTCCTCCATTTTTGAGTCTCACACTTGTCTCACACACAAACCAAAATCAAAAAACAATCCTACTACGAAAGAGGAATCCAATAGTGCCCTGTAAAATGGGCAGAAGTCGTCAATAATAATGGAAATTATTTGGAATCAATTTATGGTTTTATGTTGAATAAATTTTGGTTCAAAGTCCCGCAGTTTTCAATTCACTAACCCAATATATGACTAAAATAGCTGATATAGAACAATCTTCTAGTGTAAAAATACTTGAAAAATCTAATTTTGTAGGTTTTGAGTCTTGAAAATTTCATAAAACATTACAAAAGTGGTCTTTTAGGAGAGAACAGAACTTTTCACGCACCCTATAGATCCATCTAGTTCCCCGTGCTCACAAAAAAACTCTTTCCACTTTAACAAAGTACCCAAAGAGTGTTTTTACTGGTTTTTTAGAAAATTTTTGAAAAGGAGTTCCTCAAGGGTCCTCCCGTAGATGTACACCGAAGATAACAACTTTAATACCCCTAAACCGTGCTAAAAAAAAACCTAAACGAAAGAGGAATCAAATTGCCTGTAAAATGGGCAGAAGTCGTCAATAATAATGGAAACTATTTGGAATTGATAGTTTTATGTTGAATAAATTTTAGTTCAAAGTCCGGCAGTTTTCAACTCACCAACCCAATAAAACAATTTTCTTTTACAATATTCAAATTTTAGACAGAAGAGGAAGAGGAGGAGCCCCAGCTTCAAGCGGCATTTCCAAAACCAAAAGATGATAAGAAAGATGATAAGAAAGATGATAAGAAAGACGAGAAAAAGGAGGAGAAAAAGCCTGATGAGCCGGCAACTTCGGTTACTTTTAGGTATTTTAAATATTAAATACGAGTAGATAACAAGTTTATGGTTAAAACACGAAATAAAGTACATTTTTCAAGGAAAGATTTCGCTCCAAACACTCAATCTTTTCAACAAAACTTTTGATGTATTGTGGAAAATTTGTTCAGTGGAAAATCATTTGCTTTCTATTCTATTTTTAGGGTTTAATTTAACCGGCATTTCCAAAACCAAAAGATGATAAGAAATCGGCATTTACCATAAGCCTATGCTAAGCTTTGTTTGTTTGATTTGTTGTAAAAAAATTGACACATTTAGTTTGCCACAGTTGACACATTTCATTTAGTTTGCCAAAGTTGAAAGCCGAGCCACCTCCAAAGAAACCCGAATCTGACGAGGAAAGCTATGATGAGGTGAAGCATTTAAAGCAGTAATCTAATTTGAGAATTTAAAAGTCCCATATATCCCATATTTCACATGAAATCATTTTCAGGATGAGGATGAGGAGTGGTCTGATGAGGAATGGTCCGAGTACAGTGATGAGGAATCGGAGATGGAAGTGGAACCAGTCGGCGACACGGGAAAACTCGATGAGAAGAAATTCCCGAAGTTGAAAACAGAAGAACCAGAAACTGCTCAAAAGAAAGATGAGCCAAAGAAACCCGTTCCAAAACTGAAACAACAAGATTCTGAGCCTGAAGTGGAGGCAGCTTTCGCATTGCCGAAAAAGGTTGATGAAAAGAAGCCAAAGTTGAAGATTGATGAAGAACCGGAGAGCTCATTCACTTTACCAATTGGTAAAAAGCCTCCAATAAAACGACATGCGACTGAGGAAGAGGAGTTGCCTTGTGAAGAAATTGGAGAACCACAAAAGAAGAAAGATCCAAAGATTTCTCTGAAAGAAGTGCCGAAAAAAGCGGAACCAACTTTGAAAAGAAAACCGGAAGAAGAGAAAGAAACACCACCTACAAAAAAAGCTGAAGTGGACAAGCCAGTGGACAAGCCAGTGGACAAGCCAGTGGACAAGCCAGTGGACAAGCCAGTGGACAAGCCAGTGGCTAAGCCAGTTGAGCCAGCTAAGAAACCTGGAGTTACAGCTGGAAAAAGACCGGCCATTGATGACGAGGTACCATGTGAAGAGATTGGGAAGCCAGCTGCAAAAAAAGACCCAAAGATTGCTTTCAAAGAGCCGGAAAAGCCTCCAGCTAAACCAGCTGATGCAAAGAAACTGGAGACGAAAAAACCTGAACCTTTGAAGATCCCTGATAAAGTTTCCACAAAACCAAAAGAGCCTGCAAAAGCTGAAGAAGCACCGAAAAGTCCTCCAATGGTATTTTATGGAGAAAGCTTTACTTTGGCTGAACCAAAGAAGCCTGCTGCAAAGCCGGATCCTAAAAAGGAACCAGTAAAGGATAAAAAAGAGCCACTAAAGCCTCCAGCTAAGTCAGCTCCAGCTCCAGGTGATAAAGAGTTGCCTGCTGAACAAGCGGGGAAGCCAGATTCAAAAAAAGATCCCAAAATTTCTTTCAAAGAACCAGAGAAGCCGAAAGAGGCTGTAAAACCAACTGCTACAAAGCCTACTCCAACCAAACCTGTTGGAAAACCGCCTGGTTTTGATGAAGAGTTGCCGTGTGAAGAGCTTGGTGGGCCGACTCCAAAGAAAGATCCTAAGCTGAGTTTTAAAGATCCAGTCAAGCCGACAGCAACACCTGCACCTGATCCAAAAGCTGATACTCTTGCTACAAAACCTGGAGATAAGCCAAAGAGTATTATACCGGTTAAGCTAGCTACACCGGCACAGAAAACACCTTTGAAACCTGGTGAAGATGAGGAGTTACCATCTGAAGATTTAGGTGGGCCTTCTGCTAAGAAAGATCCAAAGATCAATTTTAAAGAACCAGTCAAACCAGTGGATCTAAAGAAACCAGCTTCTAAGCCAGTTGAGCCAGCTTCTAAGCCTTTAACACCAGCAAAGCCTGCTACAAAAGCTTTGGAGCCAACTTCTGCAAAGCCTGGAGAGCCAGCGAAAGTTAAACCTTTACTCAAGAAACCTGATGATGACGAAGAGTTGCCATGTGAAGATCTTGGAGCGCCAGCACTTGCAAAGAAGCCAACTCCGACTTTCAAAACACCACAAAAGACTGAACCAGTCAAGAAATCGGATGAACCGTTAGCTAAACCAACAGCGGCTAAACCTATTCCAAAACTGAAGTTGCCAGGTGATGAGCCGGAAGCCGATGCTACTCTTTCCTTTGGCTAAAAAGCCTGCTCTTGTCACCAAGAAACCTGGTGATTCTGAGGCTCCTGCTGACTTTCTTGGAGGACCAGCAAAGAAACCGGCACCCACTCCAAGGTTTAAGGAACCAACCGAAGAACCGAAGAAACCAACAACTACACCAGCTGCCAAACCAGCAACGACTCCCCGTCAAACCGGCTGCTGCTACCACACCGGCAAAACCGGTCACTCCATCAAAACCAAGTGATGGTGAAGCTCCAGCTGCACCCAAGAAACCTGCAGCTGTACCCAAGTTGAAAGAACCAATTGATGAGCCTGCTAAGTCAGCCAAGAAACCGGATGAACCACCACTCACTGCAAAAGCTGAGGATAAACCAATTGGAAAGGAAACCTACCGAACCTGCTAAGCCAACCACAACCCCAGCTAAACCAGTCGAACCAGTGAAACCTGCCCCAAAGCCAACAGCTGCTAAACCAATTCCAAAGTTGGCTAAAGAAGAACCGGAAGCGGATGCGGCTCTACCACTTCCAAAGAAAGCGCCCGTCAAACCTGGGGATAGTGAAAGTCCAGCCGATTTCCTTGGCGGACCTACTCCGAAGAAACCAGAGCCTAAATTTAAAACACCAACCAGTGAACCAAAAAACCTGAAGAGACAGCTGTACCTGCGAAACCAACAGCAGTCCCAACACCAACCAAACCGACAACAACAACTCCAGCAAAGCCTGCACCAGTCAAGCCAGCTACTGCTCCAGCAAAGCCCACTGATGCTCCAAAGCCGACAACACCTGCAAAACCAGCTGCCGCTCCTGCAAAGCCATTAAAATTAAAGCCTACTTCCGATGATGAGGAACCCGCTGAAGAGGTTTCTCTTCCATTGCCAAAGAAACCAGTTGCTCCAGTGACCAAGGCTCCGGCTAAACCAATAACAGCTCCAAAGAAGCCTGGCGATTCTGAAGGTCCGGCTGATTTGTTGGGAGGACCAGATAAAAAGAAGTCTATTCCGAAATTCAAAGAGCCTACTGATGAGCCAAAATCAACTACTCCAGCAAAACCGACAACAACCCCTGCTCCGGCTAAACCAGCAGCTACTCCTGTTACACCGGCTGCAACAGCCCCCGCAAAGCCAGCTGCAACAACTCCTGCAAAGCCAGCTGCAAAAGCGCCACTTAAACCTATACCGACTTCAGATGATGAAGAGCCAGCTGAAGAAGTGTCTCTACCGTTGCCAAAAAAGCCAGTGGCCAAAGCACCAGTCAAGCCAATTACTGCACCGAAAAAGCCAGGAGACACGGATGATCCGGCTGATTTGTTGGGAGGGCCAGAGAAAAAGAAGCCGGTACCTAAGTTTAAAGATCCCACAGATGAAGAACCGAAAAAGCCTGCAGAGGCTAAGCCAACTACACCAGCTAAACCAGCTGCCACACCGGCTAAACCAGCTGCTGCGCCTGTTAAACCAGCAACTACCCCAGCAAAGCCAGCTACAAAAGCGCCACTTAAACCCATACCAACTTCTGATGATGAGGAACCGGCTGAAGAGATTTCTCTTCCATTGCCGAAGAAACCAGTTGCTCCAGTGACCAAGGCTCCCACTAAACCAACAACAGCTCCAAAAAAGCCTGGCGATTCGGAAGATCCGGCTGATTTGTTAGGTGGACCAGATAAAAAGAAGCCTGTTCCGAAATTCAAAGAACCTACTGATGAGCCAAAATCAACTACTCCAGCAAAACCAACAACAACTCCAGCTCCGGCTAAACCAGCAGCTACTCTTGTTAAACCACCTGCAACAACTCCAGCAAAACCAGCTACAAAAGCGCCACTTAAACCTATACCAACTTCCGATGATGAAGAACCGGCTGAAGAGATTTCTCTTCCATTACCAAAGAAACCGGTTGCCCCTGTAACTAAAGAACCAGCTAAGCCAACAACACCAGCCAAACCGGCAACTACTCCAGCAACGAAAGTACCTACCACTCCTGCTAAACCGGCAGCGACTCCAGCTCTAGCTCCACCAGCTAAACCGGCGGCTGCACCAGCTAAACCAACAACCCCGGCAGCTAAACCTCCGCTAAAACTAAAACCGACTTCTGATGATGAGGAACCGGCTGAAGAGATTTCTCTTCCATTGCCGAAGAAACCAGTTGCTCCAGTGACCAAGGCTCCCGCTAAACCAACAACAGCTCCAAAAAAGCCTGGCGATTCGGAAGATCCGGCTGATTTGTTGGGAGGACCAGATAAAAAGAAGCCTGTTCCGAAATTCAAAGAGCCTACTGATGAGCCCAAAAAACCAGATGAGGCTAAGCCAACAACTCCAGCTAAACCTACAACAACCCCGACTAAACCAGCAGCCGCTCCTACCAAACCAACAGCACCAGCAAAACCAGCGGCAAAAGCTCCGCTCAAGCCGATTCCTACCTCTGACGATGAAGAACCGGCAGAAGAGATTTCCGATTCCACTACCGAAGAAACCTGTGGCTCCAGTCACTAAAGAACCCGCAAAACCTATAACACCAGCTAAACCTACAACTGCTCCAGCTAAGCCGACTACTCCTGTCAAACCTACAACTGCTCCAACTCCTGCTAAGCCATCTGCTGCTCCGGCCAAGCCAACTGATGCGCCAAAGACGACAACCCCTGCAAAACCAGTCGCTGCTCTAGTGAAACCAGCTACAGAACCGGCAAAACCAGTAGCAAAGCCTCCACCGAAACTCAAACCAACTTCTGATGATGAAGAGCCAGCTGAAGAAGTGTCTCTACCGTTGCCAAAAAAGCCAGTGGCCAAAGCACCAGTCAAGCCAATTGCTGCACCGAAAAAGCCAGGAGACACGGAAGATCCGGCTGATTTGTTGGGAGGGCCAGAGAAAAAGAAGCCGGTACCTAAGTTTAAAGATCCCACAGATGAAGAACCGAAAAAGCCTGCAGAGGCTAAGCCAACTACACCAGCTAAACCAGCTGCCACACCGGCTAAACCAGCTGCTGCGCCTGTTAAACCAGCAACAACCCCAGCAAAGCCAGCTGCAAAAGCGCCACTTAAACCCATACCAACTTCTGATGATGAAGAACCGGCTGAAGAGGTGTCTATTCCGCTACCAAAGAAACCTGTGGCTCCAGTCACTAAAGAACCGGCAAAACCAACAACACCAGCTAAACTAGCAACCACTCCAGCAAAACCTGCACCAGCCAAGCCAGCTGCTACTCCAGCAAAGCCCACTGATGCTCCAAAACCGACAACACCTGCAAAACCAGTCGCCACTCCTGTCAAGCCTGCTGCCAAGCCATCGCCAAAAGTCAAACCGACTTCAGACGATGAGGAACCGGCTGAAGAGGTGTCAATCCCATTGCCAAAGAAACCTATTGCACCAGTTACTAAAGCTCCAACAACACCTGCAAAACCTGCAACAGCTCCAGCGAAACCCGCTGCTAAACCGGCACCAAAGCTAAAACCTGAGGATGAACCTGAAACTGATGCTACAGTTCCTTTGCCTAAAAGCCAGGAGCCCAAAAGGCGCCAGCACCTGTAAAACCAGTTGCCAAACCTTCACCAAAAGTAAAACCAACCTCAGATGATGAAGAGCCCGCAGAAGAAGTCAGTGTTCCGTTACCAAAGAAACCGGTAGCACCTGTGACAAAGGCTCCGACTAAACCAGCTGCAGCGCCGGCTAAACCAGCTGCAGCTCCGGCTAAACCAGCTGCAGCGCCAGCTAAACCAGCTGCAGCTCCGGCTAAACCTGTCGCCAAGCCTGTCCCAAAGCTGAAACCTGAAGATGAAGAACCAGATACTGATGCAACGGTTCCATTACCAAAAGAAACCAGCAACACCGGCTAAGGCTCCAGCCAAACCTGCTGCTAAGCCACCTCCTAAAGTTAAACCTGAAGATGAAGAACCAGCTGACGAGGTAACGATGCCATTGCCGAAAAAGCCAGCCACACCAGCTACAAAAACTCCGGCTAAACCAACCACACCAGCCAAGCCAGCTGTCAAGCACCTCCAAAAGTTAAGCCGGACGATGAAGAACCCGAGGGAAGAGGCTACTTTACCGTTACCTAAGAAGCCAGCTGCTAAATCCCCAGCCAAGCCAACAACACCTGCTAAACCGGCTGCTAAAGCACCTCCAAAAGTCAAGCGAACTCCTGATGATGAACCAGAAGCTGATGCCACTCTACCAGCTCCCAAAAAACCAACTCCAGCAAAGGCGCCGGCAAAAGCTCCGGCTAAACCAGCTCCAAAAAACACCGCTCAAGGTTAAACCGGAGCCAGATGAGGAAGAGCCTGAAGCTGATGCTACGCTACCTCTACCAAAGAAAGCGGCACCGAAAAAACCAAAGGATAGTGATGATCCGGCTGATCTTCTCAACGCTCCGACAAAGAAGAAACCGACACCAAAATTCAAACCAACCGATGATGAGCCAGAGACTGATGCTACGCTTCCTCTAAAGGAAACCGAAGCCAAAACCGAAACCAAGAGGTAGTTTAGTTAGTTGAGAAATGATTGTGTGGATTTAGATGAAGATGAAGAGGAGCCAGAAGACGAGGAGGAACCGGAGGATGAGGATGAAGAGGAGCCAGTTGAACCTGAAGATGGTGAAGAGGAACCAGAGGGAGCCTGAAGAGCCTGAGGTGGATGAGAGAAATTCAAAAGCACATCCTAGTCTATTATTTCGAAAAATAGAGTTCTCCAACTAATGGGCTTTATATGGATAGTAGTTTTGGGTTTTAAGCTTTGAAATCTTTCTAGATACATAGTGGATTTAGTTCTAGATCTAGATCTAGACCTGAATCTAGACCTAGTTCTAGACCTAGATCTAGACCTAGATCTAGACCTAGATCTAGATCTAGATCTAGTCCTAGATCATTTCTAGTTTGATTTTCTAGATTTCAGCTACAAGTTCTGAGTAGATTTTATCTGATTTTTGATAAGCAATATTCAAATTTGTTTTAATTTTTCAAATTTCCTTTAATTTGTCTTCTTTTAATTTAATATTTCAGGAAAAACCAAAAAGAAAAAGAAGAAGCCAAAGGAGAAAAAGCCCAAAGAGCCAAAACCGAAAAAAGAAAAGAAACCAAAGGAACCAAAGAAATTGAAATGGTGTCCACCACCAAAAGCTCCACTAGAAGCTATCCCATTGAGGTGAGTTTACATAAATGGCTTTAATAAAATAAAGAATAAAACGTTTTTTAGATCTTCCCTATCTTTATTTCAGCTTATTTTTTATAACTTACTAGGGAATTGTTTTTAAAAAATCAACTTTTTGAATCGGTACAAGTTTAGAGGTCAAAGCTCGTTCTTTTTGTACTATTTACAATACAAAATAGTACTATTTACAATACAAAATAGTACTATTTACAATACAATACAAACCTCTACAATAGCCTCAATTTTTTGAATCAAATTTTAGCCTTAGATTTGTTAGTGTCTTTCTACAAATTTAGCTTTCTGTTAAACCAAAACTAGTTGGGGATAGGAAAGGTTGAAATTTAAATAAATAGCTGAATAGTTAAATAGTTGAATAGCTAAATAGTTAAATAGCTGAATAGCTGAAGAGCTAAATAGCTAAATAGCTGAATAGCTAAATAGTTAAATAGCTGAATAGCTAAATAGCTGAATAGCTAAATAGCTGAATAGCTGAATAGCTAAATAGCTAAATAGCTGAATAGCTAAATAGCTGAATAGCTGAATAGCTGAATAGCTAAATAGCTGAATAGCTGAATAGATAAATAGCTAAATAGCTGAAATAGCTGACCTAAATAGCTGAATCGATTTTTTGATTAAATCACGCTACGCTTTTAAGGCCCGATTTGATTGTTCTTGTAAAAATTTCTAGAATTATCATATTGGAAAAGGGTTATTTGATACCTTTTCCCAACTATAAGCCTATAAATTTAGCACCGAACCACCGGAAAAAACGATTGTCGAGAAGAATAAGGAACCCGATGCAGAACGACCAACAAAGAGATATTTGAAGAGACCAAAACATACGTGGGTTTTTCATTGAAAGCTGCAAGACTTAGATTTGCACTAAATATTAGATAAAGATATCCTAAAAATTCTAATCAGTGCTAGAGGACTACTGAAGATTTCGTTTTGAAGCTCTGAATTCATTGCAACACAAGCTATGCTCTGTTCTTGGTTCTTGAGCTCTGTTCTTGAGTTCATTTATGAGCAGTTTACCTTACTATTAGCTTTCTTTACTGAATTATCTTCTTTATTGCCAGCAGCTTTGCAGAAAAAAAAAGTTTGGAACAAAATGCAAAAGAATTGGCGGCAAGAGGAGTCGAACCCGTGACCTCTCTCTTCCGTTCGTTTGAGAGACGCGCGAGTTAACCACTCGGCCACTCGGCGTTAACCATCGGCGCAGTGTGAGCGCACTTTAGCCCACAAGATCCGGGTTCGACTCTCGCGCGCGTCAGCGCTTTTCGTTTCTCAAAAATTTTAGAACCTATCGCACAACTACATGGAATTTTAAGTCAAACCAACTAAAAGTTATTTGAAACGGCCCACTTGGCGTGGAGGAGTAATGCGGAGGAGTAAAGGGCGCGGAGGAGTAATGCGCATGACAGAGAGATCCTGATCTTTTATATATAGTACAGGTTTTCTCATAATTACTCATAATGACGATCATTTTCCTTTTTAAGCACTTACTCGACAGTAAACAACTTCTCATCACTGAACACAATGGAACAATGTTACTGGCCCGGGAACCATTGAAGATCTTGACACCGAGCGATTCGTTTTGGTTTCGTTGCTCCTGCTAAGCCTGGGCACTTTTTCTTCTTGAAGGCTTTCAATTTGAGGTGTTTTCGAACAATTCTCTTCATCGACAGCTCGGAAATCAGACTCGAGCAAGCTCGTCAAGCAACGGAAGCGCGTCAAGCAAGCTCGTCAAGCAACGTTCACTTTTTCCGGCTTTCTTCTGATCTTCTCGAGTACTTTCTTGACGACGGTTGTAATGACAAATCGCTTTCTGCCTCGTCCTAAACAATCCCTATTTTTTCTCCAAAGGCTTTAAAGCATGCAATTGTTTGGTAGACGGTGGCTTAACCTGCTTCCAAGTGATTTGCATTGAGTGTGCCTTTGATGGTGATCAATGATTGACTGAAGATGGATCAAAGGCTTCACCATTCCGACAAATCCGACAATCGAGTTGTCGACGATCGACCATAAACAAAATCTAGTTTTATACTCTTAAGTCATAAAAAACAAACAAAAAGAAAGAAATGGCAAGATGATTCGACTTGTTGTGGTGCTTCATAATTATCCATAATGAAGCGCATGCTTCATTATGGACAATTATGAAGCACCCTGTAGATTACAGATTATTTACAAATTACTTTATTGCCTTAAATTCGAGATTTTTGCCTTAAATTAGAGACTTTCAGACCAGTAAACATTCCAGTCTGTGATTCCATGGGAACAAACACCAGCCAAAGAAACACAAGCTGGAATGGGCGCTTTCGGACATCCACGACCAGAGAATGCTAAAGTCGATCATGGAGCAAAGCCACTTGTACAAGTAAATTTATTTTTGTCACCTGATCAAGCTGGTCCTGATGAAGCTGATCCTGATGAAGCTGGTCCTGATGAAGCTGATCCTGATGAAGCTGATCCTGATCAAGCTTATCCTGATAAGCTGATCCTGATAAGTTTAGGATCCTGATAAGCTGATCAAGCTCATCAAGAAAAGTCTTGAATTTCAATAACAATTAGCCATCTTTTGAACTTCAGATTCAAAATCTTTCTTCAGGGTCCACTAAACACCGGAACGGTGTTGCCGATGTGGAACGATGAGACAAAGTGTGCGAATAGGTGAGATGAAACTCGGTTTTGTTTTCGATTGACTAAAATGAGGCTAAAAAAACCATGAGCTAACTTGAATAAACGAAAACATTTAGGAAAGGGGATAAACCGTTTGGACAACTCGTGGAAATGTTGATGACATTGTGGACAATCACAAGTATCAAACGAGTCCGGAGAAGGTTGGTGAAAGATTTTCTCGTTTTCTTTTGATTTTTCTTCTGATTTCTGATGATTTCTGATGATTTCTTCTCATTTTTCTTATTTTTCACAGAGTTAAGCGTTCAACTCAACTTCAACAATCAAAGTTTTAGTTGAAACTCACCGAAACGGTAATCCCATATGTGAATCGGGGAATTAACGTAAAGGATTTGCCAAAATATGGAAATCTCCGGATACAGGTTGAAATAAAAATCAACAATTGACTTATTAAAGCAAAATATAGACCGGTAAGGACATCAATTGGGTCCGGTGACACCAGGAATGGACAAGAAATCGAATGGTTTCATTTCAAAGCACTTCAAGTCAAACGCTTCATTGAAAGCGGGAAGCAACGTGATCGATCGCAGGAGAAATGGGGTGAGTCAAATTGGGTTCTTTGTTGACCTGAAAAAGCTTAAGTACAATTATACTTGCAGTTACAATTATACTTTTAAGTACTTTAACTAAAACGGACCTCTACTTTTGAGATTTCAATAAAACAGGTTCACGACTGATAACTCACAAGGAAAGGCTAACTAGATGATCAAATCAAATGAACCATAGACCATTTCGATGCAGAATTTCACACTGATTCCGAATCTGCTTTTCTTTTTTGCTATGGGAGCACTCTGTCAAAAGCTGTAGCATCTAGGTTTTGTAGGAGTTTCAAAGCAAACCGAGAGCCTTAGAACTCTGTCTTCCACCAGCCGACGAGTAGCAGGGGTGGCCGAGTGGTATTGAGTTAGGACGCAAGGTGGGAGTAGTTCGAGTCCGGTAGCTGATTATCTTTTTTGACCAACAGAAGAATCAACAATGATGACGCTCGTCGATGAATTTAGAGAACACCTAGAATAGAAAACGCGGCAATAGAGAACACATTAAAAACTAAAAAAGAAAAAAACACAATCAGCTAATCAGCTAACGGACTCAAACCAGAGGACTCAAACCAGAGGAATGGAATCAGAGGAATCGAATCAGAGGAATCGAATCAGAGGACTCGAATCAGAGGACTCGAATCAGAGGAATGGAATCAGGGGAATGGAATCAGGGGAATGGAATCAGAGGAATCGAATCAGAGGACTCGAATCAGAGGAATGGAATCAGAGGAATGGAATCAGAGGACTCGAATCAGAGGACTCGAATCAGAGGACTCGAACTACCCTCACCTCGCGTCCTAGCTCAATACCACTCGGCGACCACTGCAACTTGTCGGCTGGCGGAAGACAGAGGTGTAAGGCGGCGGTTTGCCTTTTGAAACTCCTGCAAAACTTTAGATGCGTATAACTTTCTACACAGTGCTCCTTAGTAAAAAAGAAAAGCAGATTGGAAGGAAACGGGAAATTCGGCATCGAATGATGATTTATGGCTCTTGATTAGCCAACACATTCAGCCGGGATCTTTCCCTTGTCAATCCAATTTCTAGGCAACTTACATGGAATGCGACAGAAAGCGAGAATATCTTCCGATTCTCTTCGATAATATGGCATGGAACAAAAAGGTCGAGCCGAGACCTTGTTTTGTTTATGACAACAAAATTGGAACCCGATTTTCCAGGAAGGCAGTGATTTGGAGCTTTCCGTCCTTCTGGTCAGTGTGGCCACCGGGTGGATGGCCGATGACGCTTGATGAGGAAATGTCGAATGGCTGTGCTCTTTCCAGGTTCGGCTTTTACTTTAAACTGATTCCAAAGCTCATGAACAAAGAAAAGCTCAAAAATGAAGTGTTAGCTAAAAGATTTCCACTTGAGAGTGCCGGCTACATCTCCAATTCCGAAAATCAAGAAAGTTGCGCCGAAGAAATTGACGAAACCGAAGTTGAAGCCTGTGACAGCCGTTCCAGTGAAAGTGGCTCCAAAAAAGACGACGGCAAAGAAAAAGTTGTGATAAATAGTGTAATTTAGAAATCATAAATATTATAAATGTTTAAATTATAGTTTTTATCTATTTTGTAAATGTTTACATGTTATATTTCAACTTTTAAAAATATCTTTTTTGGTATATCCAATATCCTTGGTTCGAATCGTAGAAATGATTCTTGGAGAGGGAACTGGACATGGTTTTAGATTGGATCGGATCGCGATACGATCTGATACGATCCGATCCGACACGATCAGATCAGATCCGATACGATCCGATCCAATACGATCCGATATGATACTATCCGATCCGATCCGATCCATCCGATCCAATCCGATCCAATCCGATCCAATCCGATCCAAGCCGATCAGATCCGATCCGACCAGATCAGATCCGATATTTCTTCGTACAGCAAATGTGACCAGGGAGCTGAATGGATAAGAGCATAGTATACAAAGCTAGTATGATTTATTTTTTGCCTGGGTTCGATTCCCACTAGGAGATTTCTCCTGCTTTTTTCCTCAAAATCTGTATCTATTAAATCAGAAACAATCCCAAAATCATTTCATTTTTGTATCGGACAGGATCCGATCCAACACGATAAAATTCAATCAGATCAGATCCGATCCGATCCAGATCCGATACGAAACAGATCCGATCAGATTAGATCCGATACGAGCAGATCCGATCAGATCAGATCCAGTCAGATTAGATCCGATACGAGCAGATCAGACCCGATACGATCCGATACGATCGAGATCAGATCAGATCCGATCCGATCCAGACCCTATACGATCCGATACGATCAGATCCCGATACGATCAGATCCGATGTTGACTCCGATCTTATACGATCAGATTCGACCTGAGTAATACAATTATTGCTTTGGATTGCTAAAAACTAAGCAAATCTCAATTGATAATGTAAAGAACGCACAACAAACCTAACTCTAAGAAACGATTTTATTGAAGGCACAGATTGCGGGTTGGTGATTTTGTTCATTTTTCGGATCCGATCCGGTCCGATACGATCCGAAAGATGAAAATTCGGATCGAATCCGATCCGACGCGGTCGAAACCATGTCTAGAAGAGACGCAGAGACGAAGAGACGAAATTATTTCTTACAGCATTTCACTTGCAGATTGAAAGCTGATCTCATCTGAAAGCTATTTGCTGGATGAGCTACAGTCTTTTTAAAGCAACAGTGTATTTATTTTCACGCACTCATTGATTGGTTACAGTAGTTTTGCTAATTGCGCATTGTGTTTATTTTTATTGTGTGTACAGTATTAGGCTATGCGAGAGGGAACTGTATGGGTGGGCTACAGCTGGATCCATTAAACAAAAGCATCACCGTATTCTTTGTTTTTGTTTCTATTGTGCGGATCAGCTACAGCAATTTTGTCAGATCTGTTTTACTTGTCAGCTCTGTCAATGTCAGATCTGTCATTGTCAGCTCTGTTTCATTGACAGATCTGTCATTGTCAGATCTGTTTCAGTGTCAGATCTGTCATTGTCAGATCTGTTTCAGTGTCAGATCTGTCATTGTCAGATCTGTTTCATTGACAGATCTGTCATTGTCAGATCTGTTTCATTGTCAGATCTGTTTCATTGTCAGCTCTGTTTCATTGACAGATTTGCTTTTAAGAATTGGTTTCTTTTAAATAAATTACAAGGTGTTTACAAAAAACAAAAATTATATCGAAAATATTGAAACAAACAGCAAAATCAGCATTCAATCATCAAAATTTCTTTTGATTTTCAATGATTCACAAAAATGGATAAAACAATAACAAGTGCTGGGATTATAAACGAGAAAATTTGCTTCGCCGAGTTGCATTGATCGTTATCACAACAATAAATGGTACCTTTGTCTCCAAATGCGTCTGTTGCCCCAGTTTTACCACTTTTCTAGAATTTATTATGGTAATTTATCAAAGTATGAACTTTTACAGGAACGGATTCATGATCGATAGATTAGATAAAAATAGAAACAAGTTAAAGGGTGATTTTGATCATTTTTGTAAATACTTGCACTTGTGATGAAATAGATGTCAGAAAATTTGGAAACAAGAGAAAAACAAACGTCCTGACCGTCTGCTTACCAGGCTTGCCATTGTGACAGATAATACTACCATTGAGCCGACACTCTGAAATTTAGGAGAAACTATAAAAAAAACCGACGCTCTACCATTTGAGCCGACAATACCCACCCGTAGAGCCGACGCTCTACCATTGATCCAATGAGCCTTCTTACAAGGAAACGGTCTGAGCTGATCGAACAAATAGTCTTTTAAGGAATTACAAATACTTGATAGTTGGTTCTCACACTTGCATTGGTTGTTGGTAGCTCATTTTGATCAACCAGAGTCGACCCTTGAAACTCCATGGAATTTCGCAACGATTGGACTTTCAACTCCGACCGCTTCCTCGTTAGGCGAAGAGAGAAATAGGAAAAGACAAAAAAAAAGAAAAAAAGGAAGAGATTCTTGAAGCAATTAGATGCTTATCCAAGAATCTACTCGATTCACTGCAGGAAAAGATTGCTTAATGAACTCTCTCTGTTCCTATTCTGCTTTTGTATTTCTTCCTGGGATGAAGACGTCGATAACTCAGTGGCGGAAGTCCGGTTGATAAAGAGAAGGTAATCAAGACGGTCAGGAATTCGATTCCCTTTTGGTTTCAAGATTGCTTCGCCATTCGACTTTTTAAAGATTTTCTTCTTCTTTCTCTTCTTCCTTTGCTTCTTTAACTTTCTCATCTTCTTCTTTCCCATATTTCCTATATAGTTCACTCTGGCTAACAAACTCTTCTTCCTCTTCTTCTTCCTCTTCTTTCATTCATTCAGTGGCTCAAATGTCTGCAATCTTTTCTTAGAAACTCAACTAAACAAACCAATTGCATGTATACCCCAAAAGGAGTTGCTATATCCTAGGCTTATTTCCCCCTGGCCGCCACATCCCCACAACAGTCCTTTCCTTAAACAAAAAAAAAAAATGAAAGATTTCAGAATAAAATCTGTAACAAGATTTACTTTAGGATAATACCCTTTGCTTTACTGTGTGGCTGCTGCAGATGTAGTGTAGTGCAGTGAAAATACTCTGGTAAAATTCGAGCTGAAGCCTGACACCTTCAACTTTCACCCCCCCAATCCCATAAACAAAAAAACAACAAAATTTTAATTTTTACAGCTGATAAGTCTCTCTAAAAAAGTTGTTTTCTTAAAAAGAATTTGTGAAAAAAAGGTAAAAGTAAGATAAAAAAACATTGTTTGATTTGGTTCTTTTCCAATATGGGAGGAGCGGAAGGATTATCAGAGGAGCAGAAAGGAGAAAATCAGAAAAGCAAATTTTGGCAGCACTTTATGTATCCCTATTTAAAATTGAAACAGACCAAAGACTGCTTTGTCGCAAAAGGTTATCTGACTCCCGGAGAATTTCTCTTGAGGACCTTTACGCCGTGCACCAAGTGTCACATACCCAGGAAATAGATCTTTTCCGCTTGAGCGGACTTTCATCAGATTCTTTACAGTTGCAAATCCCCGACTGGGATAGCTCCTTTGAGTGACGAAATAATCAGACATTGCAAATCTCCGGTCCCTTAATTGCTCAAATCATCGGAGAAGCGGCGTCAAATCGTTAAAGTTTAAAAAAACAAATTGCCATTAAAATACAGTCCACGAAATGCATTTTCGAGGGCCCAAAATTTGCTCCCCCAGTTTTAACTACGTTTTTCTTTCCCGGGATTCCCCCCCAATGATCACTTCCCTCCCCCGATATTAGAAAAATACCCCTGAATTCATTAAACTTTCATTTAAGACTTTCATTTTATAGACTTTTTATGATTTCATTGAAATTCGTCACATGTTTGAGTCCTGATAACAATGCATTAAATAGTGAGCTTCCCACAAGAAAGCTAGTAAAAAAAAAGTTCATTTGAATTAGATGCAAGTTTAGTCCAAAATCAATCAGGTGAAGAGGCTGAGAAAATGCTTTTAGATCATTCAGTCCTGTAATCGTCCTTGTCCTATCATTCCTCTTTTAAACTCAAATACTTTTGAATCATTTCCTTGCCAGGTGTGGAAATGGGGTACAAAGCAGGTGTGGAATTGTGGGATTTATTTTGAATTCTAGAAGAAAATGAAAGTCAATCTCTAAGGGAGAATTTTGGGTTTTATGTTAGCACATTTGAAATCTCTTCAGCTTTATCCTTTTAAATGCGTCAATGTTTACTAAAAAAGTTTCCAATAAAAAGCAAAGAAGTTCGGCTGGGTGGGGAAATATTGGCAGAAATGGGAGAAATGGCGCAGAGGCAAAAGTAGCTTTGTTGACTGCACAATCTCGGTTTAAATCCAAAGTGAGAACTTTGGATTCAGCATCATTTAACAGACACCCCCAAATGACCAATTTATCATCAAAAATCCCTACCGCTCATCTTTTTACATCAGTATTACAAATCGCTTTTAAATCTCTATATAGAAAAACCAATAACAAATATTATAAATGCTAGAGCCAAATTCTTTTTTTAAAGCCAATCGTAAGTTAATTCGATTTGCTGAAAGTCGAGATATATTAGGGTGATGCAAAAAAAACTGCCGATTTGACATTGAATTCCAAAAAGGATGGCGTTCATTGGTAGCATGATCCCAATGGAATATTTTCGCCAAGATCTCGAAGCAGGTGCCTGGATCGGCCTGAATAACGTCCATAAACCCGGCTTCCGTTCACGACTTCTGACCTCGAACCAGTACTCGCAATCTTTGAAAGCCTCGTCTCCCTCTCGGAATCGTTTGAAGCCAAGTCCGACACTGCCTGGGGGAACCGAGCTGCCATCCCCGAAAGTATGGCACAGAGAAGAGGATGCGATTCGTCAGCAGACTTGGTTCCTTTACTCTACAAATTTGGTCGCTTTTTTCTCTTTTGAGTTCCTTGCCGGAAACAACGATGCCGATTCGGCAGCAGAACTTAGAGTACAGAAGTTAAGCAGTGATGCTGCTCGTAGCACAAACTTTTGCTCGACCATGATCTGAATAAAACCTCTAAGCATTTAAAAATCAAATCAAACAGCAAAAAAAGAATTTCAAATGTCCAAATATTAGCCCGAAATAACCACGAACAAACCATAAAAAAAATAATACCGTTAGCATCGCTCGTTTCCGATAAATGAAAACTGATACTGATCGGCAGTTTCTTTTACCACCCTAATTGAATAAAATCGAAAATTGCGCTAAAGAGTGCCGACTTTTGACTATATAAAAAGCGGCACTTTGGCGCACCCCCGATCAAAGACGTTTTCCGCCTAGTTACCCCACAGATGGTGGTGTGCAAAATAAAGAGCGCTTCCTTTTGAGTCAAACTTGATGAAGATTCTCCCTAAAGCCAACCGCAGAGAGTCGATTCAATGTTTGTGCCTTAAATGACAAACAATCAAAGTTGATCACCTTCTGCATCTAAGTTGGTCAAATTTAGCTCAATTAAACCATATATTCTTACAGGTTCGTCTACAGGCAAATCAGACTTTTCTTTAGCTTAATTTGAGTGAGGAGTGAGCTAAAGACTAACAACAAAAGTCAATCTGTTTGCTGGAAGTCGAGATACTTGAAATAAAATGAAAGATACTTCTAATTTTTCATTTGACTATCGACGTTGCTAATCTTCAAGATGGTTTTTCTCTCTGTTTTTATTAAAGAATATACGAGACAAATCCTACTGTCCGCAACCAAGAGAATTTGAGTGAAAGTTTCTATTAAAACCAACCGCAAGTCGATTCAATGTTTTTACAAAAATGTAATAAAAAAATCAAGATTGATCTACTATCTGCAAATGAAGTTGGTCAGAATTTACGACTCAATTTTTCTATATATTCACTTACAGGTTAGTCTACAAAGAAAAAGTAATCAATCATTAAATAACATTAGAAAATAGCATTATTCCATAAAAACAATAATCAAAAAAGAATTTTTGGTCGTTTTCGAAAAAAAAACAAAAAGCTTTTTTTGTTGACGGGATCTGAACCAAGATTAAAAAGTACCTGAACGCAAACACACTAATTACTGTAACTAGATTGCTGGGCTCAGAGCACAGCAACTGGGATGGCAAAATGGCAGAAAGGAAAGCCTTTTCGCAACACTTTTTAAGGAAAAATCAGTGTACTTGAAATTCCCGAAAGAATTTTCTTTTTAACGAAATTCAAACCTTCCTATAACTTTGTGCACTTTACCGATTAGCGATTTTGAAAGCAGTTACAGAACGTACATTCTCAGGCTTTTCTTTTGGTACTATCTCTGCTCCGACTCCCGTTGCTTGGAAAGATTCCCTTATTAAATCTGACCCAGGTTTTAACGGTCCCAGATGGTGACTCTTTCCCGAGCTACTGGTAGTCTAACAGTCGGTCGTCGATGGGCCAAAAAAAACACAGACGTCAAAAGTGTAAAAAGCAGTAGGTGAACTTTCAGATTTTATTGTAAGTCGTATTTTTTAAGGACTTTTCTGCCCATAAATCAAAGCCCAATGTGAGTCCAGTTAACCCCAATAACAATACTATAACTATTGGGTTGTCCAATAAGTAATGTGTTTTAGGCACGATTTTCAAAATAATACAAAATTAACAAAAGAGAACTTTATTAATCGATATATTCCTCCACAACAATCAGCAACATTTCTCCATCTCGTCCGAGCAAAAGGTGAGGAGAGTCCGTCATAATAGAATGAAGCCCAGTTTCGATGAGAAAGAAATCGTCCAGCCATTTTGCACCTCGTCAACACTTTTGACTCGTTTTATTCACCAAATCAGTTAATCATATATTGCACTGGCTGATTGAAATTGAATCATCTCCCAATGCAGGCACCAGAATGGTTCGATGGCAATCCGCTGCCGTTTGACCTCGTTTAGAAATCATACAACATTGATACGCGGACAACAAACTTTTTAACAAACAAATACTTACAAAACAACATATCTATTATAAAACAAAGGCAAATGAATAAAATAATATACTAAAAATAAAAACTAGAAATTCTGATCCTACCCAAGAGCATGACAGAAGCAGGAAGCTTGATTTAGCAATAGTTTCGAAATAAATAACACAAATTACTTATTGGACAGCCCCCAATAGATTGCTGTAACTAGATAGCTGTATTTAGATAGCTGTATAACTAGATAGCTGTCCCTAGGTGGCTATAACTAGTTGCTGTAACTAGATGACAACAACTAGATGACTGTAACTAGACCAGCTGTAACTGGTAATATCTGACACTAAGATTGCTGTAACTAGATCGTTGTAACTAGATTGCTGTAATTAGATAGCTGTAGCTAGACTGTATGGAACTAAGATAGCTGTAAACTAGATAGCTGTAACTAGACCTAGCTGTAACTAGATGGCTGTAACTAGATTGCTACTTACTATTGCTCGCTTGCTTTTGCTGAATTTTGTGCCTTTTGCTGCTTGTTTTTCTCTGATTTATCTTTATCGAAAAAAGTTGATTTTGTGGCACACAGAAAAAAAACAGCAACTCTAGACGTGACTTTGGAATGGAATGAAGCTAACGCTAAAAAAAGGAAACTAAACCATTTTACCGAAGAACTAAAAAAAGGCACAAACTAGCATTAAATAGCATTGAATAGCATTATATTTCAATTTTAGAAAAAGCAAAATCTATAAGAAAATCTCAACAAAATCCCAAGAAGAGTAAAGATCTAAAGGGTGAATGAAATTTCGTTTTACAGAAGACAATTTTTAGACCAATTTACAGAAGATTTACACTGTACACAGGAAAAAGAAAGAAAAGAAGGAAAAAAAGAGATTTGTAAAGCTGTGACAGAGTCCACAAAAAAGTGTTAATAAAAAATATTGGAAAAGGATAGAAACAGTACCGGGCAAAGAAATGAAAAACGATCGTCACTTTCGGCGCGTCTGTAACTCCGTTGTCTTTACCGTATTTCTAAATATTAATGCTTACCATTGTATGCCCCCCAGAAGAGCTTTCAGAAAATGTAGAACACCATAGTTTAAACTCAAAGACAGGGAGCTGAGAGGCTTGAAAGTGACGATCTTTTCACAAATATAATAAACCTTATTGTTCCAGAAATTATATTTTGGAACGAATCGGATAACAAAATTATATAAAAATATAAAATATTGGAAGTACTTTTGAATGGTTGATAGTATTATTGGTGATAGGTGAAAAAAGTAGAGGTGAAGAGTGAATTTTGTTTGATTTTTTTCCGATCAATTGAAGATTTCAGCTCATGTGGTGTCCTGAAATCGATTTTTAAACACTTTTAACCTTGGTTTAGCACAGATTCGTTTTTTCAAACGAAATATCTTTATTTTTAATTTATTAACAAAATTTCATTGATTTTAAGAAGTGGAAAGAAAGAAAGAAATAAAAAAAAGAGCGAAATTACCTTCTCTTTTAAAGCCTTGCTGGAAGGCGTTTTCTAGGTGGCTACTTGAAAAAATTACTAACAAATAGAGAACAAAAATCGAATTCCCATTAGTCGAAAGAAATTCGATGTTATTGATTGATTTCACTAATTTCCCATTAAATTATGTCAAAATTCAGCTAATTGAGTGAGGAGCGGCGACCTTATGACGATTGGATTTTTTACAAAAGCATGATTCTAAAAATGAATTACTAGCTTGAAGTAGATAGAATATTGACTAGTTGTTTTCAGTAACCCCCATTAGATTTGAAAAATCTTTGATTAGTTTAAATCTTTTTAGGGTGTTGTATTTTTGATTAACATTTCTTCTCACCTGATCTTGTCCATTTATTGGCGTGCCGCTGGTGAACGATTTACCGGATCTCGGCTGGGACGAATTGCCGCAAAGAACAACGTTTTGCACGCTTTGAAGTATGACGCACAGAAATCATAAAAAAAAAAAAAATTGATACTGAAGAGGGAATATATATTCTGCTATAAGGGAGCAGTCCATGTACAATGAAGATCTGTCTGTCCAAAATCTGTCTGTCTGTCCGTCCGTCTGTCTGTGCTGTCCGTCTGTCTGTCTCTCCGTCCGTCTGTCTGTCTGTCCGTCAATCGTATCTGTCCCGTCAGATCTATTTGACCAAATCACATCATATACTCTGACTGGCAATAGTATATCTGTCTGTCTGTCCTCACTGCTATCATCATAATAAATGTCCGTCTGTCTGTCGTCTATCTCTGTCTTTATCCGTCTGTCTACGTGTCTGTCCGTCTGTCTGTCTGTCTGACTACGTCCGTCTGTCTGTCAAATCTGTCTCTCTCTGTCTATCAGTCTACCTGTCTGTCTGTCTATCTGTATGTCTCTGTCTGTCAAATCTGTCTGTCCGTCTATCTGTCTGTCTATCCAAATCGTCTGTCTGTCTGTCGGCTCCCGCTGGTCGATTTACATGATTTTAGTTTATTGAATATCTGTCTGTCTATCACGTCCATCTGTCTGTCTGTCGGCTCCCCACTGGTCGATTTACATGATTTTTGTGATTTATTAGACTTAGAATTCTATGTAGTTGTCCATCCCCTTACAGTCGTTTACAGTGAACTCAAGTATCTTGGTGTTGGGCCGTTCAATTTACCCGTTCTTGGTGTAATTTGAATTATGCGACAAGTTATTCTCTATCAATTGGTGTAAAAAACTCTTTACCTTGAACAGCTCAACGTCCAAAAATTTGAGCCGCCGAGTTCGATTGCCAATGGCAAGAGGGCAGGCGCGTTTCAAATGTTCCACATTGAAGAATCGCTGCGCTGGATCTGGATCTATAAATTGCAGCTGCCAGATCCCGTCGAAAGAAGTCTTATGATGCTTGGCCAGAAAAACGCCCCATTAGCCGGGTTTAACGTTAACCGATTAACAGTTGAAAGCAATAATATACCCCGAAAATGATCAAGATCCAGGGGGTAAAGTTGCTTACGCTAAAGGAGTTTACGCTAGATGGCAAATGACGATGAATAGCCAGGTCGAACCCCCATCGTGTGGAGCCGTAAACAGTGACAGCTCTGTGACGGCATCCACAGCGACAACTTATCCACCAACACCCCAAAGCATTCGCTCATTCAGGTCGGGATGCGGCATCAATGTCAGACAGCGGCGGCGCCTAATTCCATTGATGGTGCTCCGTAGAACTTCGACTTTAACTGCTCGGATGGCGAATGTGAGATGGGTTTTGACAGAGATCCTGGAATTGTATATGCATTGCACCCCAAAAATCTGCTCATAATACTTTAAATTAACGCTTGGTATTTATTCTAATAAAACTCCAGTCAAGTCCCCAGCAAAAACTGCCCAACGGCCCAAGACTTTACTCTCAAAGGGTTATCGGACACCAAACACTTTCACCCATTGACAATCTAACCCCGAAGGCTCAATATCTTGGCGTCAGGCTGTACAATTTAAATATTCTTAATATCACTGAGTGCCCCATAGTGCTCCTCTGTCGATTGTTTGAAGAAACCTTATTTCAATTGGACAGCCTTACCCCGGGATCGTCGAACCCCAGAAATAGAAAACGGGGAGGTGTGCACGCTCCGCCCTTCGCGCCGTTGGTGAAGTCGACTTTAGGCTGAAATGCTCTTGGTGTTGGGATGTCCAATTCAAATCTTCTTTGTATCATTAGATGCGTCAAGTCTTTCTCTATCGATTGGTATAAAAACTATTTAAATTGGGATAACGGATCACCTAGAAGTTTGAGCTCAAAGCTGAATTGCCAATGGGAAAAGAGCGAGAGCGCGGATCAAATTTCCCACGCTTAAAAATCTCAAAACAACAATAATTAATTTAGTTAGTGAGTGAGTGGACGAGCTCTTTTGCTCTTTCAAAATGCCCACCATAGCTTCTCAATTTTGTTATCGATGGCGATCACATTGAGCTGAGTCGTCGAAGAGCTGAAAATTCGCGATTGAAAGCGTTGAAACCGTAAACTCTTTTCACAATTTACAACCGTTGGACTTGTTTTTTGAACTTTTATGAACGAAAAAGGGGTTTCCTTATGTCCCTTTGTGCTTTCCCTCAAGGTGTTTGAGAACCCTTTCTTTGTACCTAGGAAAATCTGAACTTATCTCCTGGCTGGTCGACTCTCCCATTTCTCAAATTGTAAAACAACTCCACTCTGTTATCTCCTCAGAAGCTTGAAATGAAATGGAGTTCTCTTCGTTCAGCTCAAGAACTCAGTTGGTGTTGTTGAATTTTCGGGAATAACAAGGCCTTTGGCTTTTGGGAAGTTACGTACGAAGACCAAAAGATTGGAAGTGGCTAAGATTAGAAGTGGCTAAGTTTTTTGGCACTTTGGTCAACTAGATAAGCCTTGAGCCTAAAAATAGAACAATGGAGACGAAAATAGACAGAAATAAGTGTTTATCAAAGAGTTTTTTTTTGATTAGATTCAATCAGGCTAAAGATTTGATCGGGTTTTGTCTTTGAACCAGGAACTTTTGAATGATTTGAGGAGTACGGTAGGGAAATAGACACCGTACTCATTGCTACAATGTACAGTACGTGTTTGGAGCCGAAAAGGTAGCTTGAGAGAAAGCGGTAACTATCAAAAACGGTGATCGAGCATTTGATTCACTCCGGGTCCCTTTTACCATTGGCAATTTAACTTTGAGCTCAAATATCTAGGTGTTGGGCTGTTCAATTTACATGTTCTTGGTATCATTAGATGCGCCAAGTCTTTCTCTATTGATTGGTATAAAAACCATTTAAATCGAATAGCCCAAAGCCAAGAAATTTGAGCTTAAAGTTAGATTGCCAATGGCAAAGGGGCGAGGCGACCCTTTGTCATTGCCAACTTTGAGCTCAAATTCTTTGAGCTGTTTGTTTGTCCAATTTAAATAGTTTTTGTACGAATCGATAGAGAAAGACTTGGCGCATCTAATGATACCAAAAATGTTTAAATTGAACAACCCAACACCAAGAAATTTGAGTTCAAAGTTAAATTGCCAATGGCAATGTCAAATGTCCCACAATCTTACAAAACTCACTTCACAAGCACTTCAGGTACCCGCACAAAGATTTGTTTCTTGAGATCAGGAGTGATTGGAGTATTTGGATGGAGATCTTCAGGGAAACGGGGACTTTCCGGCAACGCGGCCAATCCCCCGTCATCCGCCTCAGCAACACTCTGCTCAGGGGAAAGTGCCGTGTACGGAGACCCAGGCGGGGTCATTGTGGAAGCGGATCGAGATACTTGAAATGAAAAGGTTTTTTTCCCTTTATTTTGGGCTCAAAACCTTGATGCGCATGGCGTAATCGAGTGAGCGAGTTGTCGAGTTCTTCCACTGACGTCATCCGGTGGTAGCCGATTCCTTGATTCCATGGTGTGCCCATTGGTGGGCCTTGCACGATTGCCGACATTCCGAACAACAATTCGTCTAGATGTGAGCATATAGAAAAATGAAAAATTGATAGAACAATGCGAAATTGATAGAACAATGCATTTTTTGAATAAGAATGAACCAGAGAAGTAGTACGGAATTTGAAAATCGATTTTTCGTCAAAGAAAGTCAAAGAAAGTCAAAGAAATCAAAAAGAAATTAAAGTAGACTAGAAAATAAAGGTGTTCTCAAGGAAAAAGCTACAATAAAGCTCTTAAAATCTTAAAAGAAGATAAGGATTACTGTACTTTGTCAGCTTTTAGGCTTTCCAGCTTTCCATCTTCTTTTCCAGCTTTCCAGCTTTCCAGGTAAAATCTAGAGAAATACCGTCTAGAATAAGCTGTACTAGAAAGCTAAAGGTAACGAGTAAAGCTAAAGAAATTAAAGGTAGACTAGAAAAAAAAGGTTTCCTCAAGGAAAAAACTACAGTACAGCTCTTAAAATTAGATTAAAAGATAGGGGTTACTGTACTTTTTAGCTTTTAGGCTTTCCATCTTTCTTTTCCAGCTTTCCAGGCAAAATCTAGAGAAATACCGTCTAGAAAAAGCTGTACTAGAAAGCTAAAGGTAACGAGTAAAGCTAGAGGTAACAAGTAAAGCTAAAGGTAACGAGTAAAGCTAAAGTTAAGTAAACTAAAGTATAAATAGGGTATCTAAAGGTAAAAGTAAAGCTAAGGTGGAGTGTGGTGGGGGGTAGAGTAAAGCTAAAGGTAAGGAGTAAAGCTAAAGGTAAGGAGTATAGCTAAAGGTAACGAGTAAAGGTAAAGGTAAGGAGTAAAGGTAAAGGTAACAAGTAAAGCTAAAGGTAACGAGTAAAGCTAAAGGTAACGAGTAAAGTTAAAGAGTAAAGCAAAAGCTAAAGGCAACTTGGTTACAAAACTTTTCTTATTACATGAAGAATGAAGGAAAACTCATTAAAATCAAGTCATTCAAAGAAAGTTGAACAAAGTTAACAAAAAACTTTCTTCAATAACAATTAACAATAACAATTTTTTGAAACCACTAACAAAATCTAAAGCGATTTTCGTGCAGAATAACAACCAAAAATTCACTCAATCAGTTCTTGCTTTATTTTATCAACAGATCAAGTAGTTTCATTGATTCAAAACAAAAATAAATGAAAAATAAATGACCCAAAGAAGCCAATCGAGTGGCAAAACAAGAACAAAACAGAAATCAAAGGTGAAAGAAGAAAAAAAAAAGTTTGATTTTGACAGAGAGGCGCCTCACCGTCTCGTTGCATTCAAAAAGATCAGGCCAGTGTTTTTCCAATTTTAAGAATCAAATTGGGAATGTTTGATGGAGAGAAGGAGAAAAGTTATCTGCTTTTGTGAGATCAGAAATTTTTGGAGTCGTGTTGATAAAAGAGAAATCCGAAGAGAAAAGCATCAATCACTGGACAATGGAAAAGAGTTAAAAGTTGTTGGAAAAGACTTTTTCGTTTTGATTTCTAACAAAATGAGGAGAAAAGGTCAAGAGGGAAATTTGAGTGTGCATGGTGAAGTGTTACGTTTGATCTAAGAAATCCGGCTGAGTTGTCTGAAATCCGGCTGATCTAGAAATCCGTCTGATCTAGAAATCCTTCTGATAAAGGAATCCTTCTGATAAATCCGTCCAATCTAGAGTGAAGTGAGGTCAAAGCCGATCTAGAATCAAGCCGATCCCTCTAAATCTAAGTCTGGATCGGACGTGTCTGATTTAGAGTGATCGGCTTGATTCTAGATCAGAGGTTTGACCTCACTTCACTTTAGATCGGACGTCCGATTCGATTCGATCCGATCCGATTCGATCCGATCGGACGTCTGATCTAGAATCACATCGGACGGATTTCTAGATCAGACCTAAAACACCTAGTTTTCCGATCTGGTAGTAAAATGCTGAAATTGAGGCGTTTAATCGATGCGGCTTCACTCAAATCATTGAATTTTGGCTAAAAATTGGGTTAACTGCAAGTTAGGCTAAAAATCTTTCTGATTCTTTTCGTATTTAGGCTTTTTTTTTAAGGATTTAAACGAAATTTGATAAAGTTTAAACAATTTAAACAAAATTTGATCAAGTTAAAGAGGTTTGTTGTTTGGAAAAGAAGAAAATGGATTGTTTAGAAAGAAAATCGTTTGTTTAAAAGCTTAAGCCTAAGCTGAAAACCAGCTGACCTTTCTAGGCTTTTTAAATCAACTTTTGAGTCGAAGGACTTTTTCGTTTCAAAAGCGTATTTCCATTAGTCATCGTATCAAAAAAAGACAAGAAAATTGACCGAAAAAGACGCTTAAAAAGCTTGGGGGTTAGGCAATGTCATCAGGAAAAAGAAAGAGAGGGTGAAAACCCTCAAAAACGACGATCGGCCACTCATCGAAAGGGGGGAAAAAAGAAAAGAAAGAAAAGCTAAGAGATTCGGGTGGACGAACGAAAAAACGAAAAAACGCTGAGGAAACGTTCGATTCTCGTCGGCCACCCTCGTGTAGAAATCCGAAGGGTAAACAGTGAATGAAAGGGGGAAAAAACGCAGAATGAAAGGGGAAAAACGCAAAACTTCATGAAGAGAATGGATAGGGGAAAGGTGCTTCAACACAACACACACAAAAATCCTCTAATATCAGCTAGAAGTGTTAAGAATTATGCTAAAACAAATTTATTTGAGATTTTATGATATTTACTTGATTTAGAGAGGTAGATTGGTTAAGGATTGGGTAAAGCAAAGGTTTTTCTTGTGACTGAAAGCAAGAACTCGAGCTTTGAAAGACTGAAAGCAAGAACTCGAGCTTTGAGCACTTCTGGAATTGTAAATGATAAGGAAATGGTCTCAAATTTACTTAAAATCAACGAAATTGAGTTTATGAAAAGTTTATCTGTTTCTAAAAACGATGTAGAAGAGTAAGATTGAAGTTTCGATGTAGAAGAGTAAGATTGAAGCTAGCTCGGTTAGAAACAGTACAAATGGGCAACAATGACAGTAGAAATGGGTGACTGAACGCGAGAAAAAGAGCTGATTGGATGAACTGATTAAACTGATCAATGGTCGAAGGGCAAACAGTGAATAGGTCGAACTTATCGGGCTGAATTCAAGCTTAGACAGTTTATGGCCCACTAGTAGACAGTTTATGGCCCTCTAATAGACAGTTTATGGCTTTAGCGTTCAAGAAAAAACAAAAAAACTCGAAAAGAAAAACAAAAGAGACTTGAACAGAGATCGAACCCGGACCCCGTGGTTGAAAGCCTAACGCCTTACCCACTTGGCCACCAACCTGCATGGCATCCCTCAAGAAAAAAATGCTTTAAAAGGTTCCTTCCTTAAAAGGTTCCTTCCTTAAAAGGTTCCTTTAAAAGGAAATGTACGTCGGTTGTTGTTGCTTTAAGCATTGTTTTAAAGCCTTTTTTCCCAATCAAACCAGATACGCTGGTGGTCTAGTGGATAACAGATTAGTTTCCTGCTCACACGGTCATGGTTCGGTCCCGACTCCAGCTTTTTCTTTTTGTCTGAGCCTTTTAAAGCATCCGTTTTAAAGCAAATTTTCGTTGAAGTCAATTGAAGTCAATTGAAGTCAATTGAAGTCAACGAATGTCAACTGAAGTCAACGAATGTCAACGTATGTAGTCAACGAATGAATGTCAACGTTGAAGTCAATGTCAAGTCAATTTCAGATTCGGTTTCCTTATTCTATAAACTTCACTAGGCAGACAAAAGCTCGCCTTGAGTTCTACCTTTTCAGGCTTGTCAAAAGAGAAACCCTCTTTAAAGTACTATAAACGACTTATTCGATTGATTCTGCAAGTTCTAATGTACATTAGAACTGATCATTTTGTTCAATTGATCAATTGATCATTTTGTTTTGATCCATTGAATTCATGACTTTGAAAACACAAAGAATACAGATTAAAGATGTTCTAAAAGAAAAAAGAAAGGACTCTCCACTCTCTCAATTCACAAAAAGAACTGTCAATCCCCGATCGCGTCAACGTTTTTCTCATCGACTCTTTCACTTTTTTTTTTGTCTTTAGAGAACAACAGTCTTTTCTTTGGGTCAACACGACTAAATCTTTTAAGAAAAGATTCAATAGATCACGTTTGACCAAGTTTTTGTTTGGAATTTTGATTGGCTTTTGAAAGTAGAAAAGGGCGTTCATTTTTACAATCTAATGACGCAACATCAGCCATTTGCGAGTCAACAAAAAGTTGGCTTTCCAAAATTGCCTTTGCATTCTTAAATTGAATCTGAAATTAATCCATAAGCTTTACTGTAAGATGTACTGCAAGCTATACTGTAAGCTATACTGTAAGCTATACTGTAAGCTATACTGTCAGCTGTACTGCAAGCTATGCTGTAAGCTATACTGTAAGCTATACTGTAAGCTATACTGTAAGCTATACTGTCAGCTGTACTGCAAGCTATGCTGTAAGCTATACTGTAAGCTATACTGTAAGCTATACTGCAAGCTAAACAAGGTAGTGAGTGAACTTTGTGCTCTTTGTGCTCACAAATGTAAACGTAAACTTTCTTTTTTACTTCACTTACTTCGCTTTCCCTTGCTTTATAACTAATAAAAGCTTAAAAAGCTTAAAAGGCTTAAAAAGCTTAAAAAGCTTAAATAAAACTAGCATTAAAGCTTAAAGAATGAAGAAACCAGTGCACTAGAAGTGGTATGTTTATCAGTTTACCAGCACAGGCTAGAAATAACTATGGTAAAGTGGTTATTGTAAAAGATAAACTGGAAAACAAACTGTAAAACAAGTTGTAATGTAAACTGTAATACAAACTGTAATACAAACAGTAATACAAACTGTAACACAAACTGTAAAACAAGCTGTAAAACAAGCTGTAAAACCAACTGTAATACAAACTGTAAAACAAACTGTAAAACAAACTGTAAAACAAGCTGTAAAAGATAAACTTTGGCCTATAATGTTTTCAAAACTTTAAACTTTCCTACAATTTTAGGTCAAACCTGGTGACTTTTTAAAAAACAATAGCAAGTTGCAGAGATG